AATTTCAGAGAAAGATCGAGATTTAAAATTATCGAGAAGTTCTTAAGAGTTTTTTAAAATCCATATATGGTTAATACCACTACGCGAGTAAACAGTTTCACAGTATTTCTGAAGACCCTCTTTCACTGCGGACAGAATTTTTGTCAATCTAATGGACAATTCCTTTGTAGAACATCCAGATGAGCCGGCAATGTACCGTTGTTTGTACGGAATTTTGTGAAGCTTAGGTATCCAATACAAATAAGGGAAGTCCTCAGATTTGCTGTTCAATGTAATTTTCATTGAAGCCATGAAGGACTTATGATTCGCTAAAATCTCACCCTTGTCAAATGATATGTTTTTGTATGTGGGATTACATGAGTGCTCATCTATTTCTTATTCTTTTACAAGACACTCGTAGTAGTACGATTTACATACAAAGACAATATTATTTGAAGCTTTGTCCGCAGAAACAACACTATACTTATCGTGAAGAGATGATAGACATTTCACAGCTTCTTTGTTTCTGAAAACGGTCTTTGGTCGATCACACACATAGTTTTTCAACTTATGAATTCGACGTTTTATCAGAGACCTGATTGTTTTGACCCATTCTGACAAAGTGTCCAGTTCAACTTCTTCTCGTTTAGCCCATGCTCTGGCATAGTCCTCAATGGAATCCATAATTATTTTGAAGTCATGGTTCCAATAAATGTGCTGGGATTCTCTGAACATAGGACCATGAGATATCACCTTTCGGAGATGTTCATGTTGAATTATGTTTAGATCCCCAGTAATAACATGGGCCAGATTGGCTGTAAATAAGGCGAGTGGGAACAGTCACATGTCAGAGGGTTTTTTGGGTATTCTCCTAAATCAATGCTTGCTTATAGTTAAATACTTTAGATGCAATGGTTTTGGTGTAACTGTGGGATACAATAGGAACAGACTGATTTTGAAAATGAAGTTGAATTTTAAATGTTACCTCCTTATGATGAAGAACGTTGCTGATGTTGATTGCAGCAATTCCTTTAATAGAAAACTGAAGTGGAAGGAATTTCCTCTTTCCATCGTGTAAAGGTTCCGATCTTACCGGTTTAAAAAGACGGAAAAGAGCTACATCACAAATTATACTGACCAGTCTGTATATTGGAGAATATGTATTTATGCATCCCTAGATGTCAAGTGCATAATCTCATAAACATTTTACCGGCGAAATTAACAGGCAGTGAAAAATGAATAGTTCTAATGTAATGTAACCCTAGTGGATGATGAAGATGTGAAAGAAGGTCATCAAAGCTCCCAGAGGGCGATCTAGATTGGAAGACTTTTTCACATTGGGCCGATGGTAATGTTTTTGCCCATGACTACGCTGGTGTCTTAAAGTAGTATTAAATAAGCTCATTACATTTACATCACTGCAGGCTGGATAAATTTCCTACTCCTTTGATGTTATCATTGCAACCATATGGCATTGCAGTACCTAGTTCCCTTATCCAGAAATTTTCTCTATCTTTTCAAAAAGGAGTACCTAGTATAGGGCTATTGGTGTGGTGAAAAATTTTCTCGAAGATGCGTTCTGTCATAGATAAAGAAGGATCATTGTCCGGTTGATTAAAATGGTTATAAAGAACCCTGAATTGCGAGTCTTTGTTATCAGACCTGTGTTGATTCATCCTTTTACGCAAAGTTTGTCGAGTTTCACCAACATAAAGTAGTCCACACAAAGTACATTCAATTCCGTAAACGACATTGTCCGTGGAACAGTCCAGAGGCTCAAAAGATTTTGTGTAATAAGTTTTTCCTGTTAAGTTACTAGTGAAATCTGGAGTCGTGATTAACATATTACATGTCTTACACGTGCTCCTCTTTTCTTTTTTATGTTTAAAAGTAGAATATGTATGCCATTTCGTACCTCATGGAATATTTATATGTATATCATTTCGTACCTCATGGAATATATATATGTATATCATTTCGTACCTCATGGAATATATATATGTATATCATTTCGTACCTCATAGAATATTTATATGTATATCATTTCGTACCTCATGGAATATATATATGTATATCATTTCGTACCTCATGGAATATATATATGTATATCATTTCGTACCTCATGGAATATATATATGTATACCATTTCGTACCTCATGGAATATATATATGTATATCATTTCGTACCTCATGGAATATATATATGTATATCATTTCGTACCTCATGGAATATATATATGTATACCATTTCGTACCTCATGGAATATATATATGTATATCATTTCGTACCTCATGGAATATATATATGTATATATATATATGCAATTTCGTACCTTATAGAATATATATATGTATATCATTTCGTACCTCATGGAATATATATATGTATGCCATTTCGTACCTCATGGAATATATATATGTATATCATTTCGTACCTCATGGAATATATATATGTATATCATTTCGTACCTCATGGAATATTTATATGTATATCATTTCGTACCTCATGGAATATTTATATGTATGTATGCCATTTCGTACCTCATGGAATATTTATATGTATATCATTTCGTACCTCATGGACTATTTATATGTATATCATTTCGTACCTCATGGAATATTTATATGTATGTATGCCATTTCGTACCTCATGGAATATTTATATGTATATCATTTCGTACCTCATGGAATATTTATATGTATATCATTTCGTACCTCATGGAATATATATATGTATATATATATATATATGCAATTTCGTACCTTATAGAATATGTATATGTTTACCATTTCGTACCTCACGGAAGATTTACAAGTATATCTTGGACATAATATACTGTTAGTATAATAGTCCCAGTGTATATGTATGCCATATCGTGCAATATTTCTCAAATTGGAAAAGCCATAGAAAGTTCTTTGATTGGTCACTTAAGGTGCAAATTTTTATGCAAACTGTCTCATATCTAACAATTCAGAATAAGGGGTGGGAATCAGAACCATGTTCAACAATATGGAACATTGAAAGCGGTGGCCATTCTCAAAAGGCAGTGAATGGGGATGACCCATAGGGAACTCAGCCTATATATCATTCAATTCATCATGAAATGACAAACAAAAAATGTAGGGTTTAGGGGTGGGGATCTATATCATTTATAAGATACTTGAACAGCTTCAAATGGCATTGGGTGATGATGACTATATATATTTCATTTAATCAGACATTTGTATTATATGTCTCTGATTTAATTCATCTTGATATAAAATTAAGAAGATGTGTTATAATTGCCAATGAGACAAATATCTACCAAAGTTCAAATTAAGTGGATGTTAGCTATTATAGGCAACAGTACGGCCGTCAATGAGAAAAACCCACACCGTATAGTCGGCTATAAAAGGCCCTGACATGAAAAATATGAAACAATTCAATTGAGAAAACTAATGGACTAATTTATAACAAAACAATTTACTGTATCCTTTTTTTCTCCCATTTTTCTGTAGTCTTGGCTCATTATTCTCTATATTTTAGCAGCCTTTTATTCTCTATTCTTTATTTTTTTTGGGTCGATTTTTCTGTATTTCTTTTTTTTCTGCAGTCTTGTCTCATTATTCTCTATTCTTTATTTTTTGGGACTATTTTTCTCTCTTCTATATTTTTTGGCCCATTTTTCTGAGTCTTGGCTCATTATTCTCTATTCTGTAAACCTCACATGCATTTACCTAGTTAATTGTATCTTAAAAATATCCAAGGTCAATGTAGGTCACTTCATTTCTAAATTTAAGCTTAGTCATGATCACCTTATATTGGTGGTCAGCTATTGTGCTTTCTAAAATGCATCCTTAACTTTGATTATAATCTTAAAATAGGTCAATAAAGTAGGACATCTACATATTAGTTTAACCTAGGGTGATTATTGTGATATTCAGTTAGAACTGGGACATTATATATTAGTCCCCGATTAAAACATGGGCATATAATATTCCACTGGAAGAAATATTACAGTATTTGTTCTTAACTGAATAAAGAATATAGAATATTTGTTCCAATAGGAGCAGATGTTATATTATTGTTTATAACAATTTAGTTTCCAAAGGAACTTGTGTTAGGAGGAACAAATATATGTTGACAGTTCAATCCTGCCTTTGTCATGAAGTGGTTGTCTTTGGTCAAATCTTAAATGTTTTTGCCATTTGGTGTTTATGGCAAACCTTTGAAGTCTCTATTTTTATTGATAACCTTTTTCTTAGATTCTTCGTGTTTTTGAGTGTCTACTGATGAAGACTGTATGCTGACCGTTTAGATAAAATTTTTGATATTTGTGTATTTGAGTTGTTGTTCAAGGCTCAGTTAGGAATACCCCCAAAATCCTTCTATTTGTGTTGTTATGTTTCTGTCTCAGTGATATAACCCCCTAAATCCCCTTTTATCGTCTGTCAATCCAGTTGAGTTATACCAAAACTTATCTTCCATGGACGCTTATCATGTAAAGTGTATAGTGCCCTCTTAATCATGTTTCAACTTTTGTGAAGTCATGTATGAGTCTGTATGGATGGGTCTTCCTGTCTGTATTCTTTAAATCTTTAAGTAAATTTTCTTTGTTCTTTATTTGGCCTATTTTTCTCTTTTTCTTCATTTTTTTGGTCCTACATTCTGTATGTTTTGTCCATTATTCTCTATTTTGCAAACCCCACACAGACCCTCGTTAATTGTTTGGATCATAACCTCTCCCCAAACGAGAGTTTTCACAGCCAAAAAATAATTTATTCTGATTATCTGCTTTTTTCTTTTATTTAGTAAGGAATTTTCACAAATAGTGGCAAAACTTCTTCATCATTTTGTCTGTACTTGTCTCGTTGTCAATCATACCTCATCTCCTTAGTTTTATATTCTTTATCATGGAGAGTTGTCTCATTGTCAATCATACCACAAATCCTTATTTTTATAAAACATAAATCCTACCACTGATTCACTTGGATAAAAGTGGATTTTTAAAGTATAGCCTAAACGAGAAGAAATAATCCAATAATTTTCATCTTTTATTATGCATCAAACTCAAAAATCACAAATAAACAAATAACTTTAGTAGTGACATATAACAAATATATATATTATTCAACAATATGTATAAATATATAAAAAAAAGAATAGAACAAAAATAATTCAGTTACAAAACATATATAATCTTAGGACGGATTTAAGTAAATTTGACTCAACAGATAGTGCAAAAATACACAAAGTAAGGCTTATCTGATGTGGAATAAAAAAAGAAAACAAGACATATTTATTAAAAAATATATCTTTTTTCAATATTCACTTTATTTCACTAATACTGGTATTATGAATGTTGCATACATGTTAACTTTCTTTCAAAATTCAATTTATTTCAATAATACTGGTACAATGTATTATGTATGTTGCATAAATGTTATCTAAATCAATCAAGTCTATAGTGCTCACAAAACAAATATTTTCAATCCTTTGTACTTCTCTGACATACATAAACACGTTCTATAAATAACCTCAATACTTCATCTGACAGATTCAGGTGTATTTATTCCTCATAAAATATCTCTTTTATAGTCATTATATAATTTTTTTAACAATGCTATTCACTTAGCTATGTATGTAATATAAATATATATCAAATACGTAATTAAATTAATAAATTTCAAACATACAAATCAAATCAGAAATGCACACTAAGCAAGAAAACAAAGAAGTCCTATTTTTTCATACTTGAAGTAGAAGAGCCACTCCACCAAGTACCCATTTACTTGCTTTCTCTTTAGACTTGAGATTAAAGGTCCAGACAAATGTTGGTCCTCTACTCTTGGTCTTGTAAACTGGACACTCATAAATGTTCCTGTTGTCCATACGATCAACAGGTATAGCTTTAATAAAGATGACAGGCATAGCTGGGGCCAGTTCCTTAAGACGAGCCTCCCCTATCATGCTGGTCTGCATATCCCAGCGTGCACCTTCCATGAATAGACCATGTACATAGGCACCTTCTCTTGGTGGTCCTGCCATATCTTCTCTGGCCTTTTTAGTGACATCACATTGTAAGACCATACGATCCAATGGCCACTCATTCTTTCTGGCCATCTGTTGCATAATAGCGGTCAAGAATGATTGAGGATTAAAGAAGCCACCAAGCCAGACAGCAGCAGGTAATTGGAAGTCGGCAGTCCAGGTTTCTAATTCTTTAATCCTTAGCAACAAGTCAGCATACCAAATCCCAAGACCATGGAGTGATGGGTAGGCTTTCTTAGACCAATTCTCTGGTACGACATCTAAGTACAAGGCATTACCCAAGCTTTCCATATCAGCTGTGATGGTTAACTCTCCCTAAAAAGTTAAAAGTAGATTTATTGATAGTTCTTTGATCAATATACAGTGGCAAATGTTTCATACATATTCATACTCCCTTAAAAGATATGATTATGTTAATTCATAGTTCTCTAATTAATGTACAGTGACAAATATTTCATGCATATTCATTCTCCATTAAAAGATATGATTATGTTAATTCATAGTTCTTTACTTAATGTACAGTGACAAATATTTCATGCATATTCCGGAAAAATATGCATCAATGGTTATTTCTATATTTTCAACTCTGAGTGGTGAAATGGTTTAGCTTCTTCATAATTGTCCAAGAAAAAACCGAAGCAACATTAAAACATCAAAATATAAAAAACCAAATATCATTGTACATTTAATTTTGATATTTATGCCTATTATCAAACATATAAGATGTTTTATTTCTTTTATAAATTTGAAAATGTTATCAGACAAATAAGGAATTTCAGTAGTCTTTATGTCTTGTGTCGCTTCGACTCAATCTATGCCGCTTTCTTAATCTAAGAAATAACGAATTTTTTTTTAAACTTTTTTTTCTTTCAATTAGTTACATACTTCTGTTACACAGCTAAGTATTTCATTCAATTATATCACCTTAGATATGATAATACAGTATGTTTGTGACAAATATGTATTTGTTGTCAACTCTTTTAAGGTCTCTGTAATTGTACAGATTGTGTCCTATTCCTGTGACATTTTGACTGAGTGTGCTCCCATTGCGGGTGATGCATATATACATAGCAGTAGACAGACCCTGTCAACACACCCATTCTCACCCCTTTTTGAGTTCATGTGAGTTTTGTGTGTAACTTTGACTTGTTTCTTCCTCATAGATTTACACGATTTGAATATCAGTAAACTACTATCGCCTTAATTTAATTTTAATGTACCTTTAGTCCAAGGTCAAGTTCTCTGAGGGTGCGTTTGATTTCTGAGGTCAGACCATTCATTCTCTCAGTCTCCTGGAAGGCTACAACAACATATGGTGTTCTCTCTTCAGGAGGAACTTTACCCATAATTTCTAACATGTTAAACTCTTCTGGTAGTTTCTCCACAATCTCGTCTAAAATAGTCTTAATCTGTCAAGAAATAAATATGCTATTAATATCTTCATATTTTTTGTACATGATTATAACTCTTTAAAGTGTATAGGGCTATTCTGTTAAAATGGATGTGTGAAGGTAGAAAGGAATTTCTAAAATCTTCTGAACAAGCAAAATACGTTCCTTGAGAACTTTTTCATACATCAAATGAACATATAACTATAAGAGACCCATAACCAATGACCAATGTCCAAAAATAAAAACAATGACGTGAAAATAAGAACAATTATGCTATATATTGTAAACCAACTGATTATGTTTTTCTCTCGCATTTAATCCTTTTTTTAGTCAATTTTGTAGTAATTATTTTTTTTTTTTAACTTCATTCCTGTATTCATATAAAAGTTTGTTATATTTTTGTTGTTGAGTTTTGATCATTGTTGAATGCCTTATAACCACCTAAAGTTCCCAACATCTACATCATGTAGAGTCTGGTGGATAGTAGTCTCATTCGCAATCATACCACATCACCTTATTTTATATGAGCAAAACTTACCTTTTCTTCTCTACTGACACCAGTTCCTCCTGAGGCTCCAGCATCTCGGGGCTGCATCTCAAATACAGTCCTAAACAAGTTCTCTGATATTGTTGTCAAGAACTCAATCTCAGCATTAGGATGGAGACCATACAAATATGGACTCTCTTGTGGAAGGCATTCATCAATGTAAGAGTGGTAACCCTTGTAGTCAGAGTTTGGTGGACTTGGGAAACCTTGGGCCAAATACAGTTCACCATCAAGCTGAAAAATACAATTGGAACAGTGAAGTTCGGTATAATAGACCATGTGCTAAATTATTAAATTACTGTAAATTTAGAAACTATTGCGTGCATTTATTATTGCTATTTTTGAAGAATGAAAAAAAATCTGAATTGAATTATTGCAATTTAACGAAAAGCTCCATACAGATAATTGTATCATATATCAAAATGCTAGTGCTAATTATTGCTATACTTAAGGAGTCGCATTAATAAAAACTTCACAGTAAATTCTAAATTTACAGCATATGCATTTAATATCAAAGATCTCCAATATGTTTCATTTTGCAAATCTGTTGATTGAATGTACTAAAAACAAAACCAGACTTTCTTTTATAGTTAATTTTATTTAATTTCAATTTTCTTCCGTCTTTGTAAGAGCAGTTTCTCATTTGAATTGAATTTTTGTCTGTCCTTGTTTGTATGGTATCAAACTTGATTTCGATTTTTGTCATTGTAAGTATCTTTCAAATTCAATTTCAATTTTGTCCTGTAATTGTTTGTATGGCTTCAAATATGAATTCAATTTCTCCCTGTATTTATTACCGTACTCAGACTCAGAATTCAAACAATCAAAATACTGGATTTGGTGATTCAAACAAATTTTGTACTCTTGAGTACTGAGTTAGGTTTATGACCAAGAGCCCTGGTCATGTCCTGGATTTTCCGATGTCCACAGATTGGTACTGAGTTAAGTTTATGACCAAGAGCCCTGGTCATCTCCTGGATTTCCCCCTGTCCAAAGATTTGTACTAAATTAAGTTTATGACCAAGAGCCCTGGTCTCCTTCAGGGTTGGCCCCTGTCCACAGATTTGTACTGAGTTAAGTTTATGACCAAGACCCCTGGTCACCTCCTTGGTTTTCCCCTGTCCAAAGATTTGTACTGAGTTAAGTTTATGACCAAGAGCCCTGGTCACCTCCTGGATTTTCCCCTGTCCACAGATTTTTAACTTACCATATCTGGATGCATGTAGACCTCTAGGTAAGTTTTACAGAGACGTCTGTCCCAGTCATCTGTAATGTGTCCACCATACATAATTTCTCCGAACAAGTATCTCAAATCTTCCCATGGAACCTTGGCATTGGCCTCTAAGTAATTGTACAACACCATGGCACTGATGGTCAAATCTCCAGTGTTGTATGGGTACACTCTGTTCCAGCCCTGGGGTCCAAACTTACGCCTCTCACAGACAACAGCATGGAAATAGCACAGTGAGAACAAAATGCTCTTAAATTCAGTCTCTCTGGCACACATCTCCATTGTATTCTGAAACAAGACAAATATTGTTCAATATCATTTCCTCTGAAACAAGACAAATATTGTTCAATATCATTTCCTCTGAAACAAGACAAATATTGTTCAATATCATTTCCTCTTAAACAAGACAAATATTGTTCAATATCATTTCCTCTTAAACAAGACAAATATTGTTCAATATCATTTCCTCTGAAACATGACTAATAATGTTCAATATCATTTCCTCTGAAACAAGACAAATATTGTTCAATATCATTTCCTCTGAAACAAGACAAATATTGTTCAATATCATTTCCTCTGAAACAAGACAAATATTGTTCAATATCATTTCCTCTGAAACAAGACAAATATTGTTCAATATCATTTCCTCTTAAACAAGACAAATATTGTTCAATATCATTTCCTCTTAAACATGACAAATATTGTTCAATATTATCTCTCTAGAAACAAGACAAATATTGTCTAATATTGTCTCCCCTAAACTTGCAGTGAGGTGAGAGTTTGTTTTTGTTGTTGCTCCGTGTTAAAGGCCTCACTTTGAGATGAAGAACAGCAATAAAATCGCTGTTCCTTTGTTTTTTGCTGTACATGTACTGATTTGGTGTCATGGATGGATACCCCATATCTTTGTTTTTCTATTAAAAGCAGTTTGTGTTTCATCCTCTAGAAATACTCATGGAAAATAAATAGCAATACTTGTCTCGTATCACAAAAACACTAACAATAAAAAATACTCATAAGTCAAGAACATTTCAGTAGAAGTTACAACGACTTTAGTCGTAAGATATTTTGTCAAAAGAGCCCCTGGATGGTAATGAAAGGAGACTTTTTGTGAAAAGAGCCCCTAGATGGTAATGAAAGGAGACTTTTTGTGAAAAGAGCCCTTGGATGGTAATGAAAGGAGACTTTTTGTGAAAAGAGCCCCTGGATGGTAATGAAAGGAGACTTAACTCAAATAGAACAAAGAAATACCTGGTCAAAGTTGTCCAAAGCTTTATGTAAATTAGCAAACATGCCAGTAGGAGGTTCATTGGTGATTTTGATGGCAGCCTCCAGGATTCCCTGTGGTATGATGTGGTATTCAGGTAATCCTGCTGGTTCAGCACTTATAAACACACGATAGTTGGCATGACTTTCTTCACCGTACGTTTCTAGCTTCTTTTCAAGGGTAGATAACCATTTCTGCACCAAGTGGACATTCTGAAATACAATTGTGCAAAAGTTGTTTATTTTGAAATTGATGGATGATAAAAGTAATTTCTTTCTGTAATGTGATTTAAGACTATTAGTGAATAATTGCTTAAATATTTTAATACTGTAGGAAATAGTTATAATAACCTAACAAATTTGATGAACAATGGGACAGTTCATTGCTTAAAAATTCTAATTGACACGGGTAAAGCTACTAAAAACCTTTCCCTTGTAATAATACTGTAGATAAATGAGGAATGGGACACAGATGATGCCCCCCCTTGCATATCATATAAAGTTATAAAGGGACATAACTAAAGAATGTTAAAGTGACGCTACCCAAATTTGTACTCGATCTGAGTTTTGTAGTAATATGTATTGTGTCTAAGTTTCATAACATTTGGTTGAGGCCAACTTAAGTTAGAGAACAGAAACAAAAAATTCAGCAATTTTTCCATTTGTAAACAGGCATAACTCTGGAACAGTTAAAGTGACACCACCAAAATTCAAACTTGATCTGTATTTTGTGATAATAAGCATTGTGTATAAGTTTCATAACATTTGGTTGAGGCAAACTGAAGTTAGAGAATGGAAACCAACTTTGGGATATACGTACGGAGGGACAGACGTACGTACAGACCGACAAGGGTAAAACTTAATGCCCACTCCACTATAGCGGGGGCATAAAAATGATTTTAATTAGTTTACAAATTTGATTAACATGAAGGCTTCTAAATCCATCAACTCATATATGGATATAATTGTAACTTACCTGTAAAATGACCCAGTGTCCCTCTTTGGCTGCAATATCTAAGGCCTGTTCAGCAACAACTTCCTGACCTTGACCTAGTGAAATGTTATGGAAGTTTTTATCATCATCAGTAAATCCAAGCTTTTTCCCTATAATTTCCACGTCCTTCAATGGATTGACACCAGGGGACAGAATAAAGAATATCGGTGAGCTAGGACCTGATTCCTCATAAGATGAAGAGAAGTCAACACTCCTGCCTTCTGTGTATTTGTTTCCAAGTTTCTCTGTCACGAAGTCACTAAAAATTGACATTACATAAAATATGTTATTCATCCTCTTTGTTGTTTCTGTTAAACAAATTTTCAATCAAAAGTAACTTTGGACTTAAGTATACAATTGCACACCAAACATTGACAAGATAGTCAACCTAATGACAGTGGTCACTTTGTGGTATTTAATCAGGTTTCTGGCAGCATATTTTTATAAAATAGCCATAACTCTATCTTTTCACTACAAATATTTTAAATTCTTAAGCATGTTAAGGTACACTATATATTTATATATTTTAAATTCTTAAGGTACACTATATATTTATATACAGTATTAAAGTATTTCACTAATTTGGCACAATGAGTAAAACTGCATTGATAATGGAAAACAAGTACAGGTAATTTTATTATTAAACAGCAATAATATATACCTTTTAATAGAACATTTAAACAAAATACTAAACATTAATAACTGAATGTAATGTTTTCAAGTGAGATAAAAAAAAAAAACCGAATAATTGAAGCAAGAATTTGTAAAAGGAGAGGCCTAAATTTCTGGCTAAAATTAAAAATTAAAATTTTGTTATTTGGCTATTAATGAAATCATTGATTCATTTTTACAAGATATATTTTCATTACTGAGGGTCTGGAACGGGATCCTTCATTTCTTTAGTCAAATATTTTAGACCATTTTTCTCTATTCTTTATATTTTAGCACCCTATTATTCTCTATTCTTTATTTTTTTTTGGCCTATTTTTCTCTATTTGTTATTTTTTGGGACCTTTATTCTGCACTTTTTGCTCATTATTCTCTATTCTGTAAACCCTATTCAGACCCTCATTACTTACGTGACAGCATAAGTCATTCTGTCAGGTCTCAGAGCTCTCATCATACACAATTTCTGTAAAGAGGTTTTATTCTTCCATTCCTGTGGGAACTTCTCCTTCTCTGGAGCTTCACTCTCTACAAACTTCTTCCACCTCTTAGCAGAGCCTTCAATGTCACGGTCCAAGTTACGGAACTCATCCATGTTAGACATAGCCTGTCAAAATAAAGGTGACTAGAATCAAAAAGAGGAGGAAGAGGATTCCAGGAGGACATTCAAAACTCAAAGAAACTGTTAGTGCTGTTGAAAAAATGCAAGGTGACTAAAAGACAAACAAGCCAAGAAAACTCTACAAAAACTAAAGACTGAGTAACACAAACCCCACCAAAAACTTGGAGGATCTTGGGTGCTCCAGAAGGATAAGTAAGTAGAAATTATCAAGAAACTAAGGTTTCAACTCCCTCTGGCAAAGTTAAACTTAGATGGATTTGGCTATTATATCAGGCCTTTTTTGGTCATAAAGCTCTTCAACTGTTTGATTCTTATACATGAAGACATAATCTTTCAATCAGTTTAATTGAGGTCTGGAGCTGGCATGTCAGTAACTGCTAGTAGTCCTTTGTTAATTTATGTATCATTGTCATTTTGCTTAGTTTCTTTTGTTACCTATTCTTACATCGGACTCAGACTTCTTTTAAACTGAGTTTTACTGTGCGTACTGCTATGTGTTTCTTTATTCTACATTTGCTAGAGGTATAGGGTTGAGATCTCACAAAACATGTTTAACCCCGCCACATTTTTGCGCCTGTCCCAAGTAAGGAGCCTCTGGCCTTTGTTAGTCACGTGTATATTTTTTAATTTTAGTTCATTTATATGTTTTGGAGTTTAGTTTGACGTCCATTTTCACTGAACTAGTACACAATTTTATTTAGGGGCCAGCTGAGGACCACCTCCGGGTGCGGGATTATCTCGCTGCGTTGAAGACCCATCGGTGGCCTTCTGTTGTTGTCTACTCTTTAGTTGGGCTGTTGTCTCTTAGACATATTCCCCATTTCCTTTCTCAATTTTATCACTTTCAAATATTGTGCTTTGATGGTTCTTGATGAAGATAAATCTAGAAAAACACTTTGGAGGCATGATATTTAGAAAGTGTTGTCTTTCTATCTTTTTTTAAGAATCTAGAGGATTATGGGTAATTAGATTGTATGTACACCAAAAAGGAAAGAACTACACAATTGTCAGGTATTCATTGTTTATGATGTTATCAGCAAATCACAATACTTGGGTGTTCTCTTTTTTTTAACGATACTACCTAGAATGCATTAGAAACTATGAATTGGATGAACAATTTATCTATGCTGTTATTTTTGTATTACAAACCTTAATTCCTCCCCAGCTGTTATTATTCATGAAGTCTACAGGAGTTGTCACATTGGGTGTAGCAGGGAATCTCAATAAGAAGTCCAATTCCACTGGGTTGATATCTTTAGCCATCAATAATATCTAAAAACACCAGAAATAAATTACATAATATACAGAACACACAAATCGATTTACATAAAATTCACTTTTTGTGAGTTGAGTCATTCACAATGATTGGTTGAGATTTGGAGTGAATACACTCTGATTAACAACCTTTATGGTAATTATCTTTGGAATTTACAGAGTGGTACAGTCAAACCTGTACATCAAGTTTGTCCTCTGTACCAAAGAACAGTGACCTTGGATGCATAGGTATTTCTACAGCAGGCTTAGAAAAATTTTAGGTGACCAAACAAGATAGGTTTTCACTTAAGAGGTGAACTTTATAGTAGGTTTGGAAGGCTTGACTGTACTTCAGAGTGAATCACCAATAATCACCTGTTTTCACTGTTAAATTATCACTAACTGATTATTATTACAATATCCTTGTCAGTACTATGAGGTGCAGATTTATGTCAAAACCATTGTATTAAAGGAGCTCCTGAAATATTTTAGGAACTCCATAATTCAAATTTTGGATATCCATAAATCATTGAGGACTACCTGAAATATTTCAGGTCCTCCATCATGTCCATAGATCGAATAATTCAACTTCTAGCTGCAAACATAAATACACAGTATGATAAACAATACATCATATTGTTTACTCTCTCTTTCTTACCTGGAATGTCATCTGTGCTGTAAATATGATCTTGTCTCTTGTGAATAGACCTCTAGCGGTGTACATAAATACAGAGTATGTTATACAGTCAATCAAATTGTTAACTCTCTCTTTCAATTCTTCCGATGGTTCAGCTTTGTCAATAGCTTTCTCAAATACAACACTGAAAGCCTGAAAAAAGGAAAAATTGTTTTACATGTTATGAGAAAACTCAGCAAAGTCTGATACCAGGCTTATAAGTTGTTAAACATAATCAAATCTATGACTGCTCTATCATACAAAACTTATCTTGGGAGTTTTTTTTTAATTCTTTTCCAATTTTTAAAAAGCACAAAATTAACATGTAGTAAAATCAATATTCCTCAGGTGAACAATTAAAAGGCCAATTACGCCTACAAAGAGTGAACTGACCATTTTGGCCATGTTGACTAATTTGATGATTTTATTTTTGATGATCATTTTTGCCATTTACATTTCCTCTCTATCTACTGTAGATTAGGCAAAAATGAAGACCAATACCAGGTCTGGACCTGCATCACTGCATGCAATTAATAGAAGTAACATGTATACTGTAGCATAACTGATCGTTCCCATACCAAATATTAAAATCATTCACTTCAAAAGGAGCCAAGAAAACTATGACCAATAATTTTCTTTGTACAAAGAGTGTTGTAAAATTTCAAACTATCTGCAAACAGGAAGTGGCTACACAGCAGATGTCTCGCCCGTTTTTCTCTTCGAAGATGTGACGCCAAAGCGAAACAAACTCATGGTTTAGCAACGTTGACAACCACATGCGTTAATATGACGAATGCAGACCTTGACGAAAGCATCCATAAAAATTGTCATCTGACAAGTGTACTATTAATGAACCAGGAAGTAGATCACTAAGTCAAAAATAAATTTTAGCACAAAGCTAATTTATCATGACTCATTACCACAACAATTTACAAGTTATAACAAAGTGTTTCATACAGAAATTCATCATATATGTTTTCTGAAACTTGAAAATCGAAAGTCCGTCGAGTCAGCTAATACCCAAATCGGAAGTCCAACTGTAAATCTGATAGGTCCCGAACCTCAGGCTACCAATAATTTTAACCCCTGGTCAACAAGTAAAAAGGAGCTTTCTTGGAGCTTCTGTACAAATTTCGATAGAATTAAATGAAACTTAGAATATGATATGATACATAAAGTAACTTTATAAAAGTTCAGCTTACCTTGAGTGAGAACTGGTACATAGGATTAATCTTATTTAGGTCATTCAGGATGAAGTACAGAAGAGATGCCCTACCAGCAGCTGGTCTGTAATTCTCTCTGGCCAAGTTAATGTCCACTTCTGTCTTCTTAGCTTCTTTAGCTTTCACTTCAATCTCAGCTGCAGTTCTCTTAGTATGTTCAAGATTTTCAACCAGAGCATAATCACCCAAGAAGTTTCCTTCGGCAGCCGATAAACGAGCCAAGAGCGAGTCTTCAAGTTCTTTCAAGGTGATCTTGAACTGATTCTGCTGTCTGGTCAAATCACCTTTGAGTTTTTCTAAATCTGGTCTTTCCTTGCTGACGACAGCTGCCAACAACTGGTCTTCCAATCCATCTCTAGTAACGGTAAAGTTAATAAGAGTTGTCTGAGCTTGCATTTCAGGTTGGTAATGAGGATTAGCCAATTTTGTCTGCAAAATCAACTTGAAGTCAGGATGATAATCTACCTCTTTGTCACCCATCTTAATGGCACGACCTTTCTTGATAGTGTTACGACCAATCAATGGAGCCAATACAGGATCAACATTTTCTCCGATGTTTTCAATAAGAACCACATCACCGTTAGCCACAGCCTTTTCAATAGCATCAAGATAACCCTTCTGGCCAAGACGAATGATTTTAAGATCATTTCCATATCTGGTTTTGATCCACTTAATACCTTGTAATTGAGGATCAATCATTAGCGGCCATCTTTCACAGTTTGTCAATATGGTGGCATTTTCTGTTGACATTCTGTCACTAGGGAGATTTTCATTGTTCCAGGAAGCAACCTGAGCATCGTCTGTGAGCAGAGTCAGTGGATCTAGGTCCTCTGTTATTGGAATTGGGCTCTTCAATCCTTTCAAATATGGGACCCAGTGTCCATCCATCAGATCAAGACGATATTGTTTTGTGAAACAACCAACATATGACACAAAAGCAGTGGTCAACAATACATCACCAGGGAGAGTCTTTTCTTGTACTTTGAAGTTACCAATTGCTTCAGCCCAACGGACATTTTCTGATGCCAATCCTCCAACCAGTCTGTTGGCTAACTCAATAGTTTTAGCAGTCATTTCAGCCTCTTGTTGACATCTGAGCTTTTCATTTGTAGCTTTTTCAAATTCTGCTGTTAGTTTGGCCAAGTCAGCTTCCAGTGCTGCCAATTTGGCTCTAATCAGACGCAACTTTTCAGTGGCCGCAGCTAACTCAGAATTAGCTTGAGCTAAGGCATTACGTTTAGGTTCTACTGTACAGTATACCTCATAGTATGTGATGATGTTAATTACCCATGAACAGAGACCTGCAGCGGCCAACGACTTGCCTCTTACAAAGTCAGGGTTGAATTCAGGGTCCTGCATATAGGGTGCTACTGCCTTCTGACAGTTTTCATGAATATTGTCTTTGTCATAGTTGACTAAATTATCCAAGAACTGATCAACCTGTAAAGAAAAATATGGTTATAATGACTGATTGTTTGTTGATTGATAAACATCCAATGGCAATAATTTCATTTCTGAGGGTCTAGATGGGAGTCATTCATTCCCTTTGTGCTGCATTTTTTGCCCCTTATTCTCTAAACCCCATCAGAACCCTCATGTATATTCAGGTCAAGATTAAATGAGAAATGACAGTCATAATTTCACAATCAAAGTGAATGTTCCCTTGAGCTTTGTTTTGTCACTCTAAGGCTAAAGCAGACACTAAAAAAACATTTAACACTTTTTTCTGCCACATGTGGAGCAGAATCTGCTTATCCTTCCAAAGCACCCGAGATCACACCCAGTTTATGGTGGGGTTTGTGTAGCTCAGTCTTTATAGTTTTCTATTTTGTGTTTTGTGTACTGTTATTTGTCTGCTTTTTCTTTTTTAGCCATGGCGTTGTCAGCTTATTTTTCGATTTTTTTTTAGTTTTAATGTCTCTTTGGTATCTTTCACCTCTCTTCTTTCATGGGTCTGTTAAATAGAGAATGTAACAACTGTTCATGACTGTACTCTTACAATGTTGATGACTGTACTATTACCATGTTCCTTACTGTACGCTTACCTTGTTCATGACTGTACTCTTACCATGTTCATGACTGTACTATTACCTTGTTCCTAATTGTACTCTTACCTTGTTCATGACTGTACTCTTACCATGTTCATGGCTGTACTATTACCTTGTTCCTAACTGTACTCTTACCTTGTTCATGACTGTACTCTTGGCAGCTTTCCAACTTTTATCTTTAGGGACTTTGCCTCCTTGTGCCATCAAACACATGACAGCACCCAATGTATTAATTACAGCCGGTGGAGGAGAACCAAAAGATTTTAATTCTGTCAGGTTAGTCTGGAAGAAAAAAAGGAGAAAAAATAATAATAAAAAAGTTAAAAAGGTCAGTCTGCTAGTAAAAAGAGAAAAAAAAGTAATAATATGTATCCTACTAGTGCTCTCATTTTATATCACTTTTAATCTTCTGCAGAATATTTTTAAAACCATAGGATATTAATTAATATATGTGCTTATTATAAACAAGTGGATATTAGTTTTTAGCTTTGCTAATTGCTTTGCTAGTCATGTGTATGTGTTGATAAACTTAATAAGTCTATGTTCTTGCATGTATGTCTGATGTTATTTGTTATGTTTGAACTCTTAATATGTTGGTATAAATTTTGTTTAATAAGATTTTTTATTTGATCATTGTTATTTTAAGAATTAGCTCCCCTTTTTTGGCAAATTATTTGTTTTCCCTGTTATATAAAAGCAGATATCTTCAAGTAAAACAATTCCTTCATTCTATATTTCATTTCAAATCTTGCTGTATTCCAAAATTTATTTCATACTCATTTATATTAGAAAATAAGAATAAAACTCATCAGACTTGTATGTTTGTTTGAATTTTTAAATCAGTTATGTTTGTATGTCAGTGATGTATGTTTTAATACACAGTTCTGGCAACTGGATCCCATTTATTGTCATGTTTATCAATTATATCTTTTTGGGTTGCTCACTCATTTTTTACAATATAAAGGAACTATAAACGTCATACAAGTAGGAGGTTTAGCTAGTTATAAAACCAGGTTTAACCCACCAATTTCTTCATGAAATGCCTGTACAAAGTCAGTTGTTTTCCATTCGTTACCGTGGTAGTTGGTTGATATAGTCGAGTGTTTGATCAAGATTTTGTCAGATTTTATGGACTTCCCATTTTTCCAATTTACCTTGGAGTCTGGTATTTTTGATAATTTTTTATTTCTCTTTTATTTTAAGACGAGATTTGCGTTTTATCATTTTTTAATGCTTGATCAGTTCTGGCTAGACTTTAACTTTATTTTTAATGCTTGATCAGTTCTGGCTAGACTTTAACTTTATTTTTAATGCTTGATCAGTTCTGGCTAGACTTTAACTTTGTTTTTAATGCTTGATCAGTTCTGGCTAGACTTTTTTTTTAAAACTATTTTCAACTGTATAAGATATGTTTTCACAATCAAAGCTTCAGTACATACTGACATGATTTATAGCAAATTAAAAAAAAAACCTTCCCATTAATAAATTACTAAGAATCTAATAGTTCCAACTCCCTCAGGCAAAGTTGACCCCAGCTGAATTTGTCTATTCTTGTTGGGTCCCTTTTGGTCATATAGCTTCTAATATTTCTAAATATTTAGGTGTAAAAACCATTGATTTTCCCCTATTAGTCTTTGTTAAATTTGCACTTTTCAAAAAAAATGTGCAGAATTTATCTTTGTTTCAAATAAAGAAATACTTGGCATGAGTAAAGTTTTATCCTGTTCAGTACTATAGAAAAAATTTCACATAACATTTCATTGCATATAAGAAAGTAACCATCACTGGAAGTTAACCAATCAAATTTTCCCCCTTTTTTAACCTGTGTACAAGCTTTAGTAACCATGTAACCTCAAGTTTCCAAAATATTCTATAGACACCCCAAATTAAAAAATAATGGTGCTTTAAAATACCCAAGATATATGTTTATGACCCAGAAATGTTTTACTGCAATGAAATGTAGGATCAATTACCTGCAACTGTCAAATTCAAGGGAATATTTTTTTTCGACCTATTTTCGTATGCAACCAGATGTGACGTCCTATGATTTGGTGGTATTACACCTAAACACTTTCCTGGGTTACATATGTTTTTGTTTGAGCCTACCTAATGAAAGCATGCTATAAAAACACTTATGAAACACTTAATTTAAAGTTGTAATTACCTTGTTCAGAGTATTCAAGGCTTCTTTGGCTGCTAACAAGGCTGGTTCTGCTTTTGCCAAATCCGTTTCACAATCTCTCTGTTTCTTACCCACTTCCTCGCTGAACTTGGACACTTTCCTCTCTTCTTCGTCAGCAATAGCCTTTTCTTTTGACACTTTTTCTGTTTCAGCACCTACAACGCTAATCAATTTGTTTGCATCCTCGTTCTTCTGTGCTAATTCTACTTCCTGTGATGCTAATTTAGATTTGAGATCGTCTACTTGTGTGGCTGTACTTCTAAGTTTTTCCAAACCATTTTCTAGACGAACGATCTTTCCTTGTAGGTCAACGTTCTGTTTCTCCAGTAAATTCTGATAAAGTTTGATTTGTTCTAAGAAACTTTTTGGCGTGGTGTAATTGTAACGACGTTCATTTGTGAGATAGGCATGTGACATTGTGTTGACAGATGTATGCACATATCCCATAAACTCGGAAATAGATTCTCTCATCTCAGGCTGGAAATGAAGATACAATGTACATCAGTCTTGATACATAATACTGTAAATTCAGAAATTATTGCGATGTTTTTATTATTGCGATAAATGCTACAGGGTTATAATCGCAATAATCTAAACTCGTACGTTGAAATTTTTTATATGAATTAAACAGGATTTTTCTCAACACTGCAAAAATTAAAATCGCATTTTAGTCTAAAATGATAAAATCGCAATAATAAATGCATGCAATAATTTCTGAATTTACAGAAAGCTGTTTATTTCATTATAGTTTAATACAAAATCAAAGGAGGACTTTGTTTCTCTCTACAGTACTCATTGTGAAAATACACACAATAATCACGTTTACAATTCATTACATAATTAACTTTAAACAAGAATTCTAATTTAAAATTATATTAAAATATTTTCAGAACCATCAAGAAAGACTACTGTAACATACAAGTTAAGTTGTATCATAAAAAGAGATTTTGGGTATATGCCAATGAAACAGAGGCCCAACGACACTAACACAAAAATACATCTATCAAACAATTAATTTACCGATAACATTTCTATGTCTTCTAAGAATCGGGCTGACACAGAGTTGAGAGCTTCCACAGGCCACTCATGGAACCAGTCTATACAGGTACAGTTGGTGACGGCAGGGAACTTACGACTTCTAACTCTTAGTGCTGAACCAACAGGTGAGAAACACAATACAACCTAAAAAAATAGCAAAAAATCATTTACTTCAATATATTTAAATCTGACTAAGTAAATAATTTTCATATATTCATGGGGATTCTATATTAAATCAAAAACTTCTATCATTGAAAACGTGTACCTACTATTAGAGGTATATAAAACTAGTTTCTAGTGATTATAATGTTACAAAAATTATTGGACCAATGCATGCATATATACATAACTAAGTCCTTTGTGCATATATTTTACATTTATTACTTATCCATGACGTATAATCGACAAGAAAAAAAAAAATTCATTTGGGGATTGTTGATCAAAAATTTTAGCTGTTTATTAACTTTCAGGTTTTGTTGACGAATTATACCTATCGTGACCTTGATTAACATTCAACACAGAATCATGGAGCGCATGAAAAATAAGTGAGATAATTTTTTTATTTTCCATACATTCCCATTTGTTTATTCAAATTTGTCATAACAGTGTTAAATTATTTGGTTACTAAATAATTTGTTCTTTTTCTACATTAATTGCACAGGTCAGACAATCTTTTTTGGAAAGCTAATACTTGTTTTCTTTTATAAACATAAATGATTACCTTCAGAGTCTTTCTGACTTTATCAATAAAGAAGCTCCAACAGTTCTCTCTGGTATCTTCTATTCCTGCTCCCTTAACTTCATTCCTGATTCCATTAATGATATTTTCGATCTCATCTTCGGGGAAGAGATCAGGGATTTCACCGGAAGCCAACAGATCATTGATCAATACCAAGAACTTTTCATCCGCTACCTGTGCATCAGTCATCAAGAAGACCATTCCCATGTTTTTAAGACCGGCTTTCATGTAGAGTGCAGCAATGTCAAGTTTTAAGTCGGCAATACTGTAACCTTTCCTCAATTGAATCTGAAACACGTCCAAACTACTGATGAATGCGGCAAGACGTGACAAACTCTGTTTACCACTACCACCTACACCAATTAGCAAAGCATTACCACGAGGGGATTCTAAAATTCTGTTGATTCGGCAAATATGGGACATAGCATCGGCAAACAGTACAAGGTTCATAACTGCATTCAATTCATTGTAATTATCTAACGACTCTACCAAGATTTTGTTTAAACTTTCAAAGCTTTCTACGATATTATATTTGGGATCTCCTATACCGTTAGCAAAGTGACAAAAGATCAGCGGTACTTTTTCTAAAGCACTTTCCTCAATGTCTTCAAACGATTTCTTGACCACATCTTTAACTAGTTTATCGTAGGCTTCCAAGTCTGAGTTATCAACCAGTTTGTCCCTGTACACTCTCTCAGCTTCATGTTGCCATAGTCGCACTAAGTCAATGGGAGTTTTAGCTGCATCTGGCATGGCGAAGAGAATTCCCTGTTAAAAAAAAATGTATTTAAAATGAACAGTATTATTTTTCACTCTTATGAAAATTGATATAACCAAAATATTACCTTTGTCTTCTCCTATTTAAGTTAGTAGGTGACCAAACACTGAAAAATTAATATGATCCGTTCCAAACTTTGAAACGTTGAATTGCACATTTCATAAAGCAATTCCCTGTCCATTCAGTATAAGATATTGCATGCAAAAATTTCAAATTTTTGAAACACGGAAGATAGATAAAAGAAGACCATGTTTTGCAATGAAAAACCATTAAAATAATTGTGAATAAAATGAGATAGGAGGTGCACAACTAATATGTTTTATGAAGTAAGTCTGTCAAGGTTTGTTCTAATTTGACGGTAAAATATTATATGTTGATAAACTTTCTCATATGCGTCATGCATGGAAATAAAAGAGGACATACAAAAACATGTGGTATGAAGTAATATGAACTTTGTTTCTTTTCCAGTATAAAATTTAATTAGTGTTGACAAACTTTTACATTTGAAAAGCTTCATATTCTAATTAGTGCGTTTTGTAGAAAATTTTCAGTTTTTAAATTATCCAATAGTTAATAATTTCTTTCAGGTAAAGTTGACTCAGAATGATTTTAACTACTGTAGATTCAGTATTATTCGTTGGATACCAATTTTCGTGGGTTTCATGGGTACAGGTGAATCACGAATTCAAATGTTCAATGAATTACAAATTATATATAGGCTTTGTATACAGAGATTGTTAAAACCACGAAATCAAATATCCACGAAAAAGCAAGTTTTCCTCAATCCACGAAAATTGATATCCACGAAATTAAATGAATCCACAGTACTCTGTTAAGATCCATGTGCAAGTTGCTGCTTTTTTTTTATAATAAATGTATTTGTTTTTGTAAAATGTTAGTCCCCAGCATACCTGATGAATGTTTTTCCAGAGACCTGCCATCTCATTATTGACATCAGTAACAACCATTTACATTAACCAGAGAATATAAAACCAAACACATGCAACTTCATATGGAATTTGGATGGTTGATACTGCTCTTTTGTTTTTTATAATACCATTATGATGTAATTCGCAGTTTCAAAATCTAATGCATTCTGGGTTATGTTTTCAAAATTGAACACCAAAATGTTGTGATTGGTTAAAAACATCCTAAACAATAAAAATTCAACCAATGACATGACGCTATTTTCATTTTTACAACCGATGTTATTTTCATTTTGGGGTACGAACAATAAGTGTTACCCATTGTCCTTTAGATTCTGAGACGACCAATTGGGAATGTCCGTAACAAGAAAACGACCAATTAAGCATGAATATCCAAATGATTGATAGGGTACTGCAGGTTTTATTTATTTCATACTTTTTAATATTTTCAATAAAATCTTGACGGTTGTGTGGTATCAGGAGATTTTGCTAAGTTGCTGATCTCTCTATTTTTTTAAACATAAGATTGTCAGTTTTCCTACCGAATGTTGATAGTTCTCTACGGCTTCCTCCACTAATAAAATCTAACTGCCATGAAATAGCCCAATAATGCTAAAAGTAGCGTTAAACACCAATCAATCAATCAATTAATCTTTGTTTTTAGATATATCCGAATTTAAACTTACCTGAAAAATGTTGGACAAATCTCTCAAGTTGAAGATATAATGAAATTTGACAGCTGTTGGAAGGAAACTACTGGTTATTCTTGAATGAAGTGACACCGCTCCGGAGATAAGTGTTGGGGCATATTTCTGTACAGCTGCGGCAAAGTGGTTGAGCGATAAATGCTGTTGTAAGATGCTGGTATAAATAGTTGTCAAGGCATCCAAGTTGGGGAAATTCACAGAGAATACACAGAAGTGGCGCTGAAAAAATGGAGAGAAGAATACATGTAGCGAAATTGAAACAAACTCTTTCCACCCAGGTTCAACCATGACGGGGAATGAACAGATGGTGGCAAATATTTCTTGCATGTTTAAGAAGACTTTTAATGCAAAAGCACAACAAATAACCAACGGTCTAGCAAAATTACTTCATTATACACATATTTTATTAGGAAACTTTTTTTTTATAACAAATATATATTCATTATTCTTCCACTTGCCTGTTACAACTATATATATGTAAAAAGTTCAAAAATCACTGACGCATTGCAGTAATAGTATGTTGTATATAAAATTATGGCATTTTTGTTGTTGATACATGTACTGACTTTATCAACAAGAATATCAAACTACTACATTATTCTTTTTATAGGCAATTTGTCTTCACTCTTTATTCTTTTGGTTGAGAAATGAAGTAATATGAAATAGTAAGTAAAACTACTTTTACGCGTACAAAAAGTTGGGAGAGTTATTCGGATGTATGAATGAAGTCGTGTGCATTTCATTGATAAATTGAGGTGGATGGACTTGAGCACGTTGCTGCACTGATACATGACGTCATTGACTAATATTTTTGAGTATCCTGTCCATGATCTTAAATTTATTAGGCAGTAAGATCAAACTGAAAATGTACAAATTGCGGATCTAAATACTTATTAGCACAACTAATCAGAAATTTAAGTACTTGACTTTTGAAATCAATGGAGCAATCATTATATGAACTATATGAACTTATTATGGCAATGGGCCCTTTCATATGATGCACACAGAGATAAATTGCTTTTGATGATACTGTCTACAAAATATAACTATAAATTCAGTAATTTTTATGATGTTTTCATTATTGGGAAAATTGTGATGGTTAGGTAATTCGCATAAACAAAAACTTGCATTTTAAATTGTTTGATAATATCATTTGTATTAGTTGTATTTCCTGAAATTACAGGAACAAAAATAAAATTTATTGTGTTCATGGCTAGTAAAATAGTTTTCATTATCAAAAGGTTTCTTTTTCATCTGGAAAAAAGTAAAGTATTATTAACATAACTAATATGATATGAACAGAAAAAATAAAATAAATATTGAGTTCTTCCCATATGTCCTGTATTTTTTGTGTACAGAGGTAAGTGAATGGAAATCTACATGTTAAGTTTATTTGGCCAAAAAATAGTAAATAGACTATTAAATACAGTGGATTCATCATTATTGATGGGATAGTGAATGAATGGATTTCATTGAAAGAGGTAAACAATGAATTTAAATACTCAGCAAAATGCAAATTGTATTTGCTTTGAAAGGAGCAAATGATGATACCAGGATATAAGGTAAACTCAAAATATCAAATTTGTCTCAAAGCATGAAAATGTATACCTGAGAATGAATTAGAACCCACAGTGACCCATAAAATCAATGAGGCATTACTAATTACCTGTAGGCGAGAGTCAATAGTAAAACTACCAGCAGTAGGGTTCATGCAGGCTACATATTGTGTATTATGGATTTCTTTCATTGACAATTTCTGCCTGTCGTACCAATGACCGTGGTCAATATGTTGTCGGATCAGTGTATGAGGTTGTACTGTGAAGTACTTATCAACCTCTGGCATGTTCATATCATCAACAAAGTAGATCAATCGGCGAGTTCCAGGTGGACCAAAGTTCCTACCAGCTTTCTTTTCCAATGGTTTTTCAAGAATACCTTGCAACATGGATGACGTTGTGTAAAAATTAAATGGTACATTGGCTACCATGAAATCTTCCGACAGTGCAGATAATTTGTCTCCCATAAGTACTGTCTTACCAGTACCTGCATTACCGACCAACATGACTGGTCGTTTCTTCTCAACCAACATGTCTAAAAAGTATTTGACCCTGGTTGTTTCAGCTGTGTGTACTAATGCAGCCTGTATGTAAAAAAAATCTTATTGTTAAACATTTCTTAGATCCATCATTGTTAATTAGATATTCATTTTTTCTTCATATATAGGGAGTCAAATCAATTTACCTACTTTATTGAACTGAGTAATTGCCTACATGTGTAAGGATCAGTCATGCACATGGTATTAAAAAGATCACCCACCCTTATTTAAATCAATTTTATTTCAACTGCATGTTTAACTTAACCTCCTTTTCAAATGTTCCCAAACAGATATTTTTACGATATTTTTACCCGCTTGTTTATCTCTTTCAAATGTTCCCAAACAAATATTTTTACGATATTTTTACCCGCTTGTTTGAAAATTCCAATAGGGAACATATGTTACGTTATTGTAGTAGATAAACCATTCTGTAAGAATGATTGTGAAAGTAGAATGTCTACAATGCAATTAATAAGGATAATAAAGAAACTGAAGAAGGCCAGTGGCCGAAATGTCTTACAAGATATTTTTACAACAAAATAACACCTTGCAACTTGATATATGACAACTCCATTATATAAGCATCTGTTTTTTTTAGCTAAAAACGGCATATTGTTTTTTGAGTGGGAGGCTCAACATTTAAATTTGTCTTTTTTTCAAAGAAAGTAAGAGCATTTATTATTTTACCTGCAATGGCATATCTGGGTCCATTTCAAATTTTGGAATTCTCTTGGTCCATGGTTCAAACTTTTTGGTCTCTTGGTCAATGAAATAGTCAAATACTGTACCAGCTATTGGGAATTTGACTGTCTTGAATTCAGTTACCCACCATTTAGTGAATTCTACCCTGTAGTCAACAAGCTGTAATGAAAAATAAACACAATGAAATACCCCTATTTCTCAGTTAGATAAAAAAGATTCCAATAATTTCACATGTGAAATATATCTGATAATTTAACTTCTCTCAGGTCATACAATAAGGGCTATTCCATTAAAATGTATGTGGGAGGGTAGAAAGGAAAGTTTAATTATTGAATGTGGGTCATAGGTCTTTTTTTTAGTATGCATCTATTACCATTATGTAAAATTATCTAAAAAATGATTCTTGATTGTAGGAATACCCTCCCACATACATTTTAATGGAATAGCCCTAATTGGTTTTGTCAAGATATTGTCAATGATGTTACATCAAAACGATATATTGTGAATGCGTAGAAGAAGATATAGTCCCTTGTATTTTCTACTATATTTGTATCATTAAAGTTTGAGCCATGTAAGAAAAAAGCATACTGGAAAGTAGTAAATATTTAAAACAAAATAGTTCCTATGCATAGGTGTAAATATCAAACTATGTCGAATATATTTTGGTAATTTAGTTATCAAATGAAAAGTGAAGGACTGGTGATCCTTGTAGAACACATTTTGCCTGATAATGGTGAATAAACTAAAAATGTATGAATGAACTTTTAAATTGAGGGCATATAGTGACTGTTTCTCAGATATGAAGTACCTGGTTTGGTGTATCCAAAGTTCTGGTAACCAGTACTGTCTGATGTGTAAATAACGGTTTATTGATACTGCCCCCCATAAATGTTAAAAAGTGAAAATTAAATGTGGATAGGAATGGGGACCAAGAATAGCCAGTATTTAGTAATTACACTAAATAAAACATTTACCTGATCTTGGAACATAACACCACCGAAGGCCCAGACACAGGCAAAGACAAAGTATAATTCATACAAGTCCTTTGGACAATCTGGGGGTGTATTTTCCTCTGTCAGTAGACACTCCAGTAAGAAAGTCAACATCTGGATATGGCTGACTTCTGCAATAGGGGTGATTTTCTTGAATCTGATTCGAAGGGTCTCTAATAGGACTGGTACATATTTGTCGAACAAGATTGTCAAATTGGCTTTTTCTGACTGCACCTCTCGTGTATCAATCCAACTTTGGACATATCTGTTAGAAATAAATAATATATCTGTTAGAAATATATAACATATATGTCAAACAAGATCGTCAAATTGGCCCTTTCTGACTGTACCTCTATGGCATCTCAAATATCATAACTTAAAAGTCAGAAAAAGTAGCGATTTTCCTTCATAACATTTTGCATTCACATTAAATAGATTTAACATTTTTGTTTTTGTCAGTGGTCAAGGATGGGCAATAATAAATGCATGCATTAATTTCTGAATTTAAAGTATTTGATTTTGTCCAACAACTATCAAAATACTTTTAGAAAACTTACGGATTCCATCCTACATCTGTAGGGTTAATGAACAGGATACCAGCTCTAGACACAGTAGCAGGGGTAGCAGTCCTCAAATGACTGATTTCAAACAACAATCTCATACTGGGTGTCAGAGGGATTCTCTCGTTACTGGCGAGTGTCAATACTTTGTTGTCATCCATCACAGTGTTAAGAGACTCAATCCACATAGGATCAATATCTCCGTCAAGGACAATCCACTTTGGAGAATCTGTCGTCAGGTTGGCTAGATCTCTCATGATGACCGAGAATAAACCTGCAGAAACAAAATGTGACAGTTAATACATTTTTTTTCGTCAAATTTTTCTGAATACTAATTTAAAATTTTACAGAAATTAAGATCCAATATTAAGCTTTCATGAACTTTAAGGATGTACTTAGGTGAGGTTTAGGAATTTGTGTCAGATGTTCGGACTCCTTGGTTTTTTTCCTTCAATACAGGGTAAAATATATTGCCCCGTAACACCCATTTTTCTTTCCATGTAAGACTTCAATAGCCCATAAAAGGTCATTTACCAAAATTTAAGCAGATTCTTGATTTCTTTTCTTTCGATTTGAGACCCAAATAATTCTAATGCAAATATAAGGTAAAAGTCAGAGTCAGCCTTTTCCCGACATTTTTTTAAATTCAAATATCTCGAAAAGGAGCTCCATAACCTATCAATATTTTTAGATTATTTTGTTCCTTAATTAATGCTCTTTCGACTTATAGTATCAATTTTAAATTCTAGATTTTTTTAATTTCACATTTTTCCTTAATACTCCTTTCCAAATTTTTCTTAAATTTAAAAAAGATTTAGGAGGAAAAAACATAAACAAAAAATCCATAGGAAAACATGCCCCAGTCATTTTACCACATTTTTCAGTCAAACAGAAGGACTCACAGATGGGAAAACCTAATGGTGCTTTACTTATAATTCATTAAAATTTGATGCAGTAACTCAGGGCCATTCCATTAAAATGTATGTGGGAGGGTAGGAAAGGACTTTCAAAATATCCCTACAACCAAGAACCATTTTGTAGATAATTTCGCATAATGGTAATAGACGCATACTGAAAAAAGACCCATGACCCACATTCAATAATTAAACTTCCTTCCTACCCTCCCACATACATTTTAATGGAATAGCCCTCAGTAAAACTGGTAATATTTTAGCATTGACAAAAACATTTGTGAGTCTTTATGACAAATTGTTGATAAATTTTAACACTGTAATACCAATTTAATAACTTTAATATGACTGTTACAAAATTTTTTTAAATATCAACCATATATATGTAAACTCCAACAAATTTAGTAAATCTTTTAAAGCAGTAACAGTCAACCTTGCTAGTAAGAATTAGTGCAAAACAAAATAAAAAGATCTATGTACCATCCTTCCATTCTCTGGTAGCTGGGTTAATGATACCAAACAATTCATTGTTGGTAACAGCCTTGGGATCCAGATCAATGGCCTGTGGTTTCCTGCCAGCATTTCTGTATGTTCTGATGAGTGATCCCCATACTTTACTTTTACCGACACCAGCATTACCCAGACAGAAGACAGAATGACGTACTTCAAACAATTCCTGTAGCTGTACAACCTGCAGAAGATAAAACATGTGTTTTTAGGGCTATTCAAATATTGAAATGAATGAGAGATTCTTTTCATACCTTAGCCCCCATTATTAAATTTTTTGGGAAAATTAACACTTTTATTTTCATATTTTCCCTTCATTATAAATTTTTGTTGGAAAATTAACACTTTCACCAAATATTTTTTTGGAACATTTAACAAATTACTGATTTGAGATCATATCTCTCTGAAAATTTGAACACGTGTAGACTACATGTGAAAAAATCTCTTTCACCAATTTACTTTTCAAGCAAAAAATATTCAACATAATTTTCATACAGAGAGATATAATTTAATTATTGTTAAAGTTGCTGACTCAATGGTGGCTACTCACAATCTCCTTAAATCACAATTTAATGTTCCATCTTTCTGTTGTTTTTCGTTTTTTATAATGATTTTGTCAGTTTCTCTTAAGACTTATGAGTTTTGATTCTCCACTTGGAATCTTCCTCCACTTTTTTAAAACTGTAAGTAACTGACAGAAAAACATATCCTAATAATGAAGTTTTCCTCAGGTATGTTACCTACTATTTATTATTTTAGTGCCAGTCTTTGTAAGAATCAGGCAATTTAGAAAAAAATCAAAACATGGCCAAAAAAAACCCACCGACCTAACCACCCTATTTTGAAGGTACCCTCATCCTGAGTTAGAAATGGTAGGTCTTTCGTTTCTGCGTGTCTAGTAATTTGAGAAATATCTAGATAAATTTTGGTTAGAATGATAGCAAATTACGGAGTTATCTCCCCTTAATTGTTATTTTCTAGAGCATTTCAACCAAATTATATGTTGAGTTACCAGAACAGGAAAAGGAAACGAATGTTATATTCATGCATCATTATACATTCTGAACTTAAATTAATGTAAACCTGAGTGGGTTTTTGTTTGTCATGTTTTCACCACTGTCTGATTCTTAGGCAGATTGGCACTTTAAATAAAAATCTCTAAATACTGTGGATTCATTAATTGTTATTAGTGGGATACTTAATTTTCATTGATTTCATTGGTAGATGTGAACCATGAATTCAGATGTTCAATGAAGTACAAATTTCCATAGGCTTGTATGCTGACTTTTGAAAACCGTGAAATCAATTATTCACGAAAATATAATTTTTCTTTAATCTATAAAAATTGGTACCCATGAAATAAAAAAATCCATAGTAACTGTCAGAGAAAAATACCTTAAGAATGAAGTTTTCCTCAGGCTGTAGTTTCTGATCAAGGATGGCTTGTTTGATTTTCTGTTCAAACTCCATGTCACGTTTCCTGGGTACGTTCAGAGCTGGGAAGAGATCACCAATCAGACCCATGATAATTGGTACATCATCTGTTACAATCTTTGGAATGTTGAAATCTCTCAAGGCTCTCATCAATACCTATGGTTAAATAAAAGAATTTTCGAAATAGGACAAAAAATTTACAGAATAAAAAAATCTACATCCAAAATTTCATAATACCTTGGCTAAATAATGATGATTTCTATTTCTGTTATAAACTGTATATTCAGTAATTTTACATGGATTTCCTATATATAATTGTGATTGTTGAACAATAGACATACTGTAAACCAACTAATTTTCGTGAGCGGTTTATTTTTCGCGACAATCGCGAGTAGAAAAATAACGCGAATATAAATCGTCGCGAATATGTAAAACTTGGATCTTTCCTTATTCAACTATATCAAGAAAATTAGAGAATCGCGAACTTTAATCGCCGCAAAGTGTGTTAGAAACGGCAAAACGCGAAATAAAGTATCCGCAAAAATAAGTTGGTTTACAGTATATGCAAGATAATTTATTGCGATTTCAAAAAATGCTACATACAAATAATGTTAGCAAAATTAAAAATGACACTTTTTATTTTTAGTACAAATGTACACTGTACTATAATATTACATAAAATCCATGCAAAAATTTCTGAATTTACAGTCTATAACGTACTTTGTCAATATTTTCAATAATAAAACATAGAAAGAAATAAATGGAGAATGTGTCCATTGGACACAGATGATGCCCCCGCTGGCATATAACGTTATAAAGAGACATAACTAGAGAACTGTAAAAGTGAGGCCACCCAAATTCGAACATGATCTGTGTTTTATGGCAATAAGCATTTTGTATAAGTTTCGTAACATTTGGTTGAGGCAAAATAAAGTTAGAGAACAGAAACCAAAAATTCAGCAATTTTTCCTTTATAAAGGTGCGTAACTCGAGAACTGAATAAAGTGACGCCACCCAAATTCGAACTTGATTTGAGTTTTGTGGTAATACGCATTGTGTATAAGTTTTATAACAATTAGTTGAGGCAAACTAAATTTAGAGAGGGGAAACCAATTTTGGGACGAACGTACATACGCATGTACATATGTACAGATGGACAAGGGTAACACTTAATGCCCCGTCTGCTGCAGCGGGGGCATAGACAATAATTACTGAAATATTTAATTATGAAATCAAAGACATAATTCTCACCTGATCTTCAGGTCTATCAGGGTCACTTCTCTTCAGGGAACCTGCTACTACCAGTACAGACTTGATGGCTCTCAGACCCCAATCGTAATGGTCCTGTTTAGATAACAGTTCTCTACACAGGGTATATAATGTAATGAATTTTCTGGCTAAAAGACGAGCTTCAAGGAAACCCTCAGCTACCAACATGATTTCACAAATCAGTTCAAAATCTGGGACAACCATAGCACAAGGTCTGAAATTAAAACACAAGTTGTACATTAAATCATTGCAAAAATTAAAGTCTCAGAGGAGCCTGTGTTGTCCTGTTTTCACCAAGTTGCCATTAATAAATAACTAAACCTAGCTATTACTGTGAATTCAGAAATTATTGCATGGTTTTTATTCATGCTAATAATGCGACTGGGAGAGTATGGCAATAATAAGATCTCACAAGCTTATATCAGATACATATCTTTGATTTTCCTAAAATCGCAATAATTAATCCATCAATTTTGTTCAATCTTCAAAAATCCCAATAATAAATGCATGCAATAATTTCTGAATTTACAGTATCACTGACATAAATAAATAATGCGTTCAATTTCATAAAATAATTCTAATGCAGTGATTTTATATACCAACAGATCCTATAATTAATAGTTACATTTTCAGTTATTCAATCTCTTGGGCCTTCATTTTCTTTAGGAGACCCAGCTTATATATATATATATATATATATATATATATATGTATATGATATCTGGCTATACTTACTTTAAACCAAACCGTAACACTAAATCATAACCCTGACATAAAACAAACCGTAACCGAACCCTCAACAGGGTCCCCTAATGTAAATGAAGGCCAACTCTTTGATTGTGATCCAAGAACTTGTATTTAATTTACCCTTTAGAGACATAGCAAAGAATCATTTTGCTTAAGTTTTTCTGAAATGTCATTGGCTTGCTAAGTGAATAATCAGAAGTTACTTTTGTAAAAGGCTTTGATCATTTCCAATTAAAAGAGGGACGAAAGATACCAGAGGGACAGTCAAACTCATAGATCGAAAACAAACTGACAACGTCATGGCCAAAAATAAAAAGACAAACAGACAAATAATAGTACAGATGACACAACATAGAAAACTAAAGACTAAGCAACACGACCCCCACCAAAAACTGGGGGTGATCTCAGGTGCTCTGGAAGGGTAAGCAGATCCTGCTCCACATTTGGCACCCGTCGAGTTGCTTATGTTATTACAAATCCGGTAAATAGTCTAATTCGGTAAGTCACATTCGTGAAAAGGGAAGGGTATTGTAGTTACGACATAAGGAACATATCAGATATCATCTGTGAAACGGTAATTCCATAACGGTCAACCAACTCGTGATGGCGTCCGTAAAATTAACCTACCTATAAAACAAGATTTTAATATTCTCTGGTAATTCAGTTCTTCCTGAATACTGTGGGTTCATTTTTATTTGTGTGATGCCAATGTTTGTGTATTTCATTGGGAAAGGTGAACCACAACTTTAAATGTTCAACAAAGTCCAAATTTTCTATAGGCTTGTATGCAGACTTTGTTAAAACCACGAAATCAAATATCCATGAAAAACATTTTTTCCTCAATCCACAAAAATTGGTACCAACATTAATAAATGAATTCACAGTAACAGTTTACCAAAGTTTATTGTAATAAACCTACCTGAACAAAGCTTTCAGATTCTCTGGTAATTCAGTTCTTCCTGCGTAACCAGGGTTCATGGTAATAAAAAGACCAACCGTCCATACGAGTTTGATGACACTTCCCTGGAAGTTGAATTCTTTCTTCTTTTCTTTGATGGCATCCTGGATGCATTTGACCTGTACGGCCACTACAGACAACACTTCAACAGCGATTCTATTGAACTCATCAAAACATCCCCAAGCTCCAGACTGAGCCAGACCTTTGTAGATGTTACCAATGGACTGCAAAATATAAATTTATGAGGATCTAATTTTTTGCATAAATTTTCAAGTTTATTTAGCAACCCTGTGGTCAGCACTTGTGTTGACCTGGAATATCATTGATATGGTCATTTTCTGTAAATTTTCTCTTTAGGAAACTTTGAATTATTAGAAACACCAAAGGTTTTATTACCCCGCAGCATTAGACACGTGCATGGCCTTAGCTGTATTTGGTAAAATTTTTCAGAACTTTTGGCTAGCAATGCTCTTCGACATCAATGTTGTTTTGGCCTTCCAACTCTTTATTAGAAAGTCTTAATATGTAGGTGAAATGCACATCTGGCATAACAGATCATACATTGTAAGCCTGGTATCTTTGACAAGTTTATACACTAAATTGTCATAAACTAATGTCATTTCAAATTTGGGTCAATTTAGAACTTGGTTTATATTTTACAATGTGAGTGCTTGTCCATTGTTAAAGGTCAAGAACAGTGACCTCTATTTTGTTAACCTTATTTGTAGAATTTAATAATGTCTCATTGATGTTTACCTCACATCAAAATCATATTCATAAAAATTGTTTTATATTAATATCTTGAAGCACCAGTTAAGGATGTTCACTACTCTTTTTCAAAATAACAAGCTTTTAAAAAGACTGTTATATATTGATAGTATAAAAATAAAGAAACGAAAAACCGATGAAAAAATAACAAGGATTTTATAAGATTTTCAAAGAAGATATTTTAAACTATGTTTAATCAAATAATGGAAAGAAAAGTAGGGGTTAATGGGCAAATTTTTTTAATGGCACTACATGGATAAAACCAGAGGATTCCGAATATCTGGCAAAAATTCAAAAACATGAGGAGCGAACTTCCTCAACACTTTCTTTTATTCAATTTGATTATTTATATTTTGCCAGTCCTCTGATTATATGAATGTTTTTTTTCTCGAAGTCCTTTAAAATTTGGTATGAAATATAAATATAATCTCAAAGTCCACAATACCAGTTAAACTGATTAAAGATATATTTTACCTTATAGTCCATCTGTTCTGAACAATTGAACACATAGACCATGATACCAAGAGCACGACCCAGATCTTTAGTGGTCTCAGTTTTACCAGTTCCTGCAGGTCCAGCGGGGGCTCCACTCATAATCAAATGGAGGGACTGGGTAAGTGTGATGTAACATCTGTAATAAATTTTTAAGTAACATTCAAAATATCTGCGAATTTAGTTGAAGACTTTATAAATAAATGATCTAAGTACGGTAAACGACATCACTCAAGCCATTACAGTTTACTGTGGATTCATTATTATTCGTAGGATACAAATTGTCGTGGATTTCATTGGAAAAGGTGAATTCAAATATACACCTGTCCTAAGTCAGGAATCTGATGTTCAGTAGTTGTCGTTTGTTGATGTGGTTCATAAGTGTTTCTCGTTTCTCGTTTTTTATATAGATTAGACCATTGGTTTTCCCGTTTGAATGGTTTTACACTAGTAATTTTTGGGGCCCTTTATAGCTTGCTGTTTGGTGCCAAGGCTCCATGTTGAAGACCGTACTTTGACCTATAAATGTTTACTTTTATAAATTTTGACTTGGATGGAGAGTTGTCTCATTGGCACTCATACCACATCTTCTATATCTATATAACAAAGTACAAATTTTCTAAAGGCTTGATTGCAAACATTGGCAAACCACAAAATCAAATATTCATGAAAATACATTTTTTCTAAATCCACAAAAATTGGTACCCACGAAAAATAAATAAATCTACAGTACAATCAAGGTAGATGTAAGAATTATTCAAAATTTCCAAAAAAACGAGCTACAGTCATATCAAATGATCCATTAGAATGGAATATTAAAAAAACCTTTTGTCATGTATTTCTGTAATTTTTATTGCAATACTTAAAAGATTTCATAATTTTCAATTTAACATAAAAAAAAAACAACAATGTAACTTTCTTGATTTGAGAAATTTCAAACCTAACTTGATGCAGTGGTAGAATCTATCTTTACTCACAACTTACAAAATTCACTGTGTAACTCATGAGATAACATACCTATCAGTTAGAGGAGTAATGACAAGACGAGGTGTGTTGCCGAGATACTCATGAGAATATCGGAATTGGGCATCACAAATGTTAGCAAAGCAATCCCTCTCATTATCATCCCATCTGTGACGAAGCTGACTCAACCAACTGAAGGCCTGGGAGCTGTCTACCCTCGATGCTACCAACTTTATTAATACGTCACGAGCGTGCACATCAATAGTACAGATGGTCATAATTTTCTGACGATCATTTCCATTCAATTTGCCAATCAACAGCTGAATGAGAGCGTTTAACTGTGTTACCTAAAACAATATAGAGGATATAACAGTAAAATCAATTCAAAAATAAAAGAAGAATATGTCTGAGGACACGAATGCCCCCACTCAAGCTTCAAACAAACAAAAATGGGAAGGAGAGACGGCCGGACGGAAAGACAAGAGGACAGACGGTCAAGGGGTTACACTTAATGCCCCCGTCGCCTACTGGGGTTGGGGTAGGGTGGGGGTGGGGCATAATAAGTTGTTATAAATGTGATTATATCAATATAAGGTTTTAATCTCTTACTTTTTATTAATATGAAGAAATGAAGATTTAGATGCGTGCTTAAATGAAACAGCAACACATCAACACCATAAAACCAAATCTTTGTCACATATGCTTTTTTATAATCACTGTTGTAAGCACTAAAAATCATTGACTTTAAACAAGAAAAAAACAATGTACAAAATCTTGTCCATTTGTCAACTTGTCTTATCCAAATTTTCACTAGCCAGAATAGATTATTATCTGACTCGATCCATAATAAATTGATGATTTAATATTAATTGTGGCTTACTAATTTTTTGAGGATATCGATGGTAAATGTTCTCAATGAAGAAATCAAGTTTTCAACAAAATAGAAACTTTCTAGAGGTCTGTATGCAGAATTTGTCAAGTCCACAATATAAAATACAATTCTTTCTCAATCCATGAAAAAATTGATACTCAAGAAAATATAGGGACCCACAATGAAAAGAAGGGAAATACTATATATATCAAATGCGTTTTGTTAAAATAATACTTTTTCACTTTTTGGTTATTGGAAAATGTTGTTTAATAATGTGCTGTATTTGGACCCCTCTACCAAGAAATTTGTTTTGCATGCACACATATAAAAATTGTGGTTTTTATCCAATGCAATCATAGGTTTGAACGTTTTCTTCAATTTAGACTTGTTTATATTTTTTCGTTTGGGCTTGTATTATATTTGCCTTCGGGTTTATATGATCTGTTTGACTGTATATATATAGTCAAATGCATTTTGTTAAAATATACTTTTTCACTCATTTGGTCTTTTGGAAAATGTTGTTTGTGCTGTATTAAGACCCGTCTACCAAGAAATTTGTTTTGCATGCACACGTATAAAAATTGCGGCTTGTTAACAAAACGCATTTGACTAACAGGTCGAACAACTGATGTTCTTAAACCCTGCTGACTGCCATTGGCGATTGCCAAATAAACCGATCACAAGATGTAACAAAATAGATCCTATCATTAATTTATTACCAAACAGAAAACAATAAACTTGCGGAAAAGATGGTATACCGCAAACATTGAGGTGCAAAAATTTGTACACCATATCCGGATTTCGACAATTAATGTCTCTTCAGTGATGTTAGGAATCAAAACGGTATTTGGAAGGCCATATAATTTACCTCAATTTAGGATAGACTCTTGAATTTTGAAAGAGTCAAAATATATATTTATATATTCATTACTACTCTGAATATCAGCACAACAATGATAAATCTGCAAATTTGCAGACGCAAATTTTTGTTCTTCCCTCGCCGGGATTCATGCCATTGGGACATCGTGACACCACCGCCTGCACTGTGTCCAGCTCTCTAGACCACTCGGCCACCTAGACTGAACTAAAAATTCAGCTTTCGGTGGCCTAGTGTTACCTTTCCTCATCCGTAGAATCTACACAGTACATGATATATTAGGAATGAAGATGGAATTGATTGCAAATTAGCTAAATTATCTGTTGTGAAGGATCGTAAGATGCAGTCACAAAAATATAAATTTATATATATATATTATTAGTCTAAGTAATTATTCCACATTATTTTAACCATATCTGTCATCTGGAATTTTGAAACCACTCTAAAGGATTAGACCTTTGATTTTTAAAATTTTTTCTTTAACCATTTTAAAAGTTTTAGTTCGCTGAAATATGAAGCATGACACAAACAGTAGATTCATTTATTTTGGTGGGTACCAATTTTCAATGATTGAGGACAAATTTTATTTTCATGCATATTTGATTTCAGGGTTTTGCCAAAGTCTACATACAAGCCTGAAGAAACTGTGTCATTAGTTGAACATTAAAATTTGTGATTATCCTTTGCCTACGAAATCCACAAAAATTGGTATCTCACGAATAATGATGAATCCACAGTAATATCAAAGACATATTTCTTAGTATAGTTCTTACCTGTTTTTTGTTGTAATCTTTCAGGGCATTTTCATAACCTTCCTCAAGTCTGGCAAAGGCAATGTTGACTTCTGTAGTCCACCAAATCTGTGTGCCACACAATGCCACTTGAGCAGGGAAGTCAAACAGCCACTGTTCTCTGGGTTTTTCTTCATATGAGCTAACAGCTTCAGTCATCTCATGTCTGACTGTACTACACTGGGACTCCAACAGTCTCATCAACCATGCCTCTACCTAGAAATAAATCGGTACATGTTACATCATTTTCAGAAAAGCTACATTTTATTTTACCCTCTGTTGGTGTCTATAAGACCCATTTATACAAAGTATGCTACCCCTACTTGGCCCTTAAAACTGAGGAAAAAGTTCATTCATACATATATGACATGCACAAACATGGAACTCCCAATTCTGTAAAGCAACCATTGAAACAGGGTGTTTTGGCAACAAATTAAAATCAAGTTGTGGTCGATACAATTTATCTGAATATTATTTGTGATGATGTGATTGGTTAGCATATTCATATTCATGGAGGTCTTTTCCTATACAAAAGTATACACAGATGTGCTGCCTCTGGTCTGGGTCACTTTTTTGGAATGTTCAATATATCAATGGGGTGCAATTTCACATAGGTAATAAAAAATATAACAATCGGTAGAAATTTATGTGTCAATGGATCTTACAAAATCATCTTATGTTAAGATATCTGTAAAAACTGTCTACTGATCTTTTATCTTATAGTATGAATGATCCCATGTGGTAAACGTCTAAATAAGATGTCATTAGCTGGGAAATATATACAAATGGGTTGTGATTTTCCTATGAATGGGGTAGGGAGTTTTGCATAAATCAATATATGACTCGATGGTGGTTTTTTAACTCCAGGCAGATGCCTGTACCTAAATTTATATGTTGAGACACCCTGTATATATATTGCAAGAAAACATTTACTATTTTGAGGAACATGCTAATGCTAATTGATTATGTTTCTGACTTTTTATGGAAATACACAAAAACTGAAAATATAAAATTGCGTGAGGAGGTCAAGGCCTTTTTCATACTATTATACTTACTTGACCATTCAGATCACATGGTTTATCCATATCCACATATTCTCCATCTTTACTGTGCATACCTATGGCAGATTTGATTTTGTTTCCCTTGTCGTCCTCCTCAAACTTAAGGTTTGCCAAACTATCAAACAATTTGGTCAGATGACGGGCAACCTAAAATGTGAGATCAGGAGTTTTAGAAACATAAAGTACATTGCTATAAAGGGCAAAAAATTGTTTTTTTTCTTTTCTTTTATTGTAGAAGATTTCTGAGCACTTAACTGCAGTAATTTGAATGCCAAAAAAATTTAAACAGAAAAATTATCAAGAATAGAAATCTTGGTCTTTTACCAGTTTTGTCTCTATTAGCCTCACATTTTCTTTTTGTCATAAATGTGCATGTAATATTTAACACTGGACATTAAGCCGCCATCAACCAACCATAATGGGTTACTATCCAGAAACACAATTCAAGCCTAACATTAATGGATTTTTAAAAATATGAAAAAATTCTAGGTTTTTTGTACAGAAATTTGCCTTAAATATGAATTCTTCCCTCAAAACTGTGCAAATGGCAATTCAAATTATGTGGGTTGTTTTCAATTACTTACAACTGGAGGATTATTTCCATTAGACAAAATATCAAGCAAATCTGCTGATGATACGAAGTAGAATCTTGGGAATGCCAATCTCTTTGTTTCCAAATATTCAGCCAGTGCCTTCTCACAGAGTGTAAGTTGCCCCTGGAGAGCCTCTAATCTCTCAAACAAGTTAGGCTGGTTAGTAGCATCAACAACATTCTTTGTCTTTTCAACTTCAGACACTAATTCCTGCAAAGTAACAAATATAGAATTTCTATCATGTAAATTTATGGAATTTTAGTGCAATATCTCGAAAAAGAAATGAATTTTCATTCATCATGTTATTGACATTAAGCAACCAAAAATCAATCATGTAATTAATCATTCGCATTCTTCTGTACTCTAAAATGGACAGTTTTGGATAATGCATGAGTACTGTAAATTCAAAAATTATTGTGTGCATTTATTATTGCAATTTTGATATAACCTACTAAAATTCAAGATTAATTATTGCGATTGTAGGAAAAGCTGCATACAGATATCTATATTGGTTATCATAATGCGAGCTCTTATTATTTATACGATACTCACAAAGTCGCATTATTCGCATTAATAAAAACCTTGCAAAAATTTTTGAACTAACAGTACTTTAAATTCTCTTCTCAAGTTTTTCAAGGCTATGATACTGTGTGACACAAAAATGATGCGATCTTCCTAAATTATCAAATAGGGGATTAAATTCTACTAACCTTAAAATCACTATCAATTCCATCAAATCTTTTGGAATCCTCAGGTAACTGGTTTCTGATGTCTTCTGATCCTATGAAGATACTTTCTAAATGAGACCATGTTCTCTGTACCTCCATCCAGATCTGGATAACTTGATCAGCTGTCGATAGTTTTTTCTGCCATGATGATACCTCTTGTAGGAAGTGAGCGATGAATTTAGATGACAACATATTTTGTAATTGTACCTGAAATGTAATTTTTAAAATATAACTGTTAATTGAATTCATTTCATAATTAATAACAGAAACCAAATGTGTGTACAATAATTTTTCTAATGGTAGTCACTTTTAGTTTTATCTTATCAGGAGGTATTTTAACAAATATCAGGTATTGAAATTAAAATGACTGACGGGGGCCTCTGGTTAAAATATGGTAAAGTAATAAGGGTTGTTGCAGGAAAGAGAACTTGAGGTCCTTTGAAGGTACTTTTTTCCAGAAAAAAAACATTACCAATAGAGCTTTTTACAATATAGTTTTTGCTAAAATGTGTTCTTCATACAACTACCTGTAAAACTTTATAAACATTTACCTTAAAAGACTCCTTGGAAATAACTTTTTACAATAAACTTAAGACGTATCCTGCAAATTTAAGTGTGTGTAACACTAAATAGGCAAATATGTTCAAATACAGAAAAAACATGTATATAAAAGCCTATCAAATACCGTAATCTAAACAGATTTAACCATGTAAAGCTGAAAGGCAAAATAATTATAAAGCAGCCAAAAATTCTATTGCTTTTAAAGCTTGCACTGGTATATTAAAAACATGCATAAAAGTACTATCGTTATTTTCCGACAATTCTGATGTATGATTCACTATGTACTTAAGAATTCATCTCAGGCTTGGATCCAGGATTTGATGTTAGGGGGCTGGAGGCGCTCCTGAGAATTAGGATTTAGAGGACCATATTTTGACCAAAAAATTGGCTGTAATTTTACCTATAAATTACATATTTTTTCTTCTGATAGGGGGAGGTGGTGAGGTGCACACCCTTTAAAGCTGCACCTGCATCTAAGATTTTTTTTTATTTCAGCAGCAAATTTCCTTAGGCACCAAATTACCTGGTTATCTTCAAGAGTATCTATCAACTCCTCACTGGTCTTCAGCATAGTAATCTTTGTCCTGGGATGGGGATCGTGTTCAAATTCCATCGTTGCCCACGTAACATCCAATTCTTTCAGAACCTTCTCCATGCTCATTTCCTTTACAGCTTTGTCAACAATACCACGGACCTCATCCTCAAAGTTGTGGAGGTTCAAGGAGAGTAAGTCAGCCAGGGTTGTCTTGTCGTCCATCATAAATCGTACCTGTCAATATAATATCATTTTTATTAAAGTATTTCAGTTTCAAAACAAAAAAAAAAAAAAAAGAAATACAAATTATTTATCAGTTTTTTTGTATTGTATATTAGAAAATGATGTAAAATTTTGCATCACAATTTAAAATATTTGACATAATAATTAAAGTGTGATTGTTGCATGACATCAGAAGGTTATTTGGAGACCGATCTAGGGTCAAATAAGCCTATTGGAGCTGATGGCTTAATTTTTGTTTTTATTTCTTCATTTGTATTGCAAATTTTTCCCTCCTAAAAAATTTCCAAGATTTACAAATTTGTTAAATTTGTCCTTGCCAGTAGAGTAAAACTTGACTGAAGTCTAAGATGGTACTGTAAAGACCAATTTATTTTTACAGATACTTTTTGCAGTAGATATAGCTTGCTGTTCGGTGTGAGCCAATGCTCCGTGTTGAAGGCCGTACCTTGACCTATAATGGTTTACTTTTATAAATTGTTACTTGGATGGAGAGTTGTCTCATTGGCACTCATACCACATCTTCCTATATCTATATAAATCAGTAAACCATTTATGGACAAATTTACATGATTTAAATTTGTCTAGTTATATTTCTACTTGCAATAATCCTGTAAATAAATCGCTTGAAAAAATAACAGTATCTAAGTTCTGTTATGAAAATAACCCTTCAACCTACCTTAGTAGCAGCCATAAGCTGTTGCCAATGGCGTTCCCTAATGGCATCATTCTGGAGCTCACCAACGGCTCTTAAAGATGTCAACATATTCTTTACACTATCTTCCACACCGGTGTAGGAGTCCCAGGCTCTCATTTCCTTATCAAGGGATCGGATATCCTTGGCGAATTTCTTACAGTCCATGTCCATCTGCTCCACGTTGATTTCTTTCCATGATGTTGTTTTCCAATCTTCAAAACTGCTTCTGACCATGATAACGTAGTCCCACAGAGTTTTCAATAGTTTCAGTTCTTTACGACATTGTTTAAGCTGCTTGAAATCTGGGACATTGACTTCAAAAAGTCCTGCTGCATCTAATAGTTTACCCATTTCTGTTTCCATATCAGATATCTCTTTATGGTACTGAAAAAATAAAGGAAATAAGGTTGGTTATTAATTTTTTTGGTCTCCTGTGATTAAAATTGTGTATTCAAATTTCTTTCATTCTAAATATGCATGAAATATTTGCCACTGGACCAGCAAACAACATTCAAATCAATCATCTTTCTTGATCATCATTTCTAAAGACTTAAAAAAGAAAACAAGCCAAGAGTGTTTTATTCACTGTAGAAATATTATAACAACCTATTTTACATTTAAGGTTCAAAATTCCAAAATGTGTTTACTTTAATCTTTATAAATGATGGCATTACAACTAGTCCAAAAATAACCTCTTTTCATTGGTCAAGGCATACTGCTCGTACAAAAATTGTATTGTCAAAAGTTTAACACAAAACTGTTTTATTTCTTCATTTCAATTGTTTTCTTTCATCGAAATAACTTCCATTAATATGTCAGGCTAATGGCAAACTGAAATATTTAAATCACAAAAACTGGATTCATTGAAAGATATATAATATATTATAAAAAACATAATTCTGACACAAAATACTTTTTTGAGAAAAAAACTTACAGAATCAATACTACGATATGGTTTTTCACAATTGTATCTAAATGGTGGTATGGAGCGGAAATGTTCCCTGAACTTATGTTGGTTGACGTCAAATGTAGCAGTGTTACGTCTAATATTAGCCACCTCAGTAGCCTGCAGTGGCGCCACCTGTTGTTTTACAGTGATGGCAATCTTCTTTGTATTCTTCCATTGTTCAGGTAATTCCTAAAAAGTAAAAACATAATTTTGTGAATATTTTTAAGTACCATAGAGAGCCCTTGCCCCCCACCCCCACCCCCACACAGTCGTTTAATCCTGATGAGACAACCAGCATTCATCAATCAATCATCATAGAGTAGTCTATGCTAGCCATGTACAAAATCATCTAATATAAGCAAAACCTTAAAAATAAATTAGGAAATAATGCCCCTTCTTTACCATTTTTAACCCTGAAAATGAAATATTTTTTTAGATGTAATTGTAGAGAGGTCTAATAGCATGTAAATATATAATTTTATTTGAATTGTATATATGTAATAGTTAAATATACTTGCCTGATACATTTACCTTACATAAAGAATATGTTCTGCTTATATTAGAATACTCTCATTAGTTTTAATGATGCCTTTAATTTATAACATTCATTATCATTCATACAACACCAAAAATTTATGAAGTTGTAGAGGTGGATTCAGGCAAGTATATTTACAGCCAAATCACTTGAGTGTGTAGGTAAAGGTAATATCTTTGGTTAGCTTGCATGCTAGCTAAACCGTGAAGTCATTATTAGGTTAGGTATACTACCCTCCTTGGAGAGTAGACTAGTCCAACAGATAACCAATCTATTTTGTCTGTAGGACAAGACTACTTAGAATGGAGGGTAGTATACATAACCTAATAATGATTTCACGGTTCAGCTAGCAAGCAAGCTAGCCAAAGATATTACCTTTACCTACACACTCTAATCATTTTGCTGTAACTAATATATTCACATAAAATCTTTTCTTGAGATTCAAAATATCCATTTGATAGCATGAGTGTTTTTTCCTCTCTAAAACAACCTCAAGAAATAGTAACAGCAATATCTAATTTACCTGGGACTGATATAACTTGTAACTAATATATTTACCTGTAAATATTATATTTTACCTGTAACTAATATATATTACCTGTAACAAATATATTTTACCTGTTACTAATATAATTTACCTGTAACTGAAGATGTACTTCCTCAGACATCTCCTGATCATAAGTTTTCAGCAGTTCTATAGTCTGTTTCAGCGGTTCAAACATCTCATCTGTCGTAGCCTGTCTATCCTTGACAGCCAATAGGTAACCCATACATCCGACCAGCCCATTGTAATCACCCTCCTCAACTTGTTGTTCTAATCCAGCATCTGTTGTCTTGATGAAGTCAGTTAACTCCTTCAAACTTTAAAAAATAAAAAAACAGAAACTGTTATTATGAACTGCAATGCAAAAAATATTAGCTGCGTTGGATAGAAATCGACCTTATGCAAGTGCACGTATACGTGTACATGTATAAGACTTTGATTGATTTTGGAACATTCAAATACAAAATACAAGATGAATGTGGGTCTGCTTTGTAGGGTCCTTACATGAATATCAACTCAATTTTCAAACAGTTCCAGACTTTGCATATATATATATAGATTTTTTCAACCCAAAATAAGTTAACAGATGTATTGATATTCATTTGCATAATTTCTATCCGATGCAGCTCATATGATTGTTTTACTTTTAGAAAACAAATCAAATTATTTAATACATGTTATAGCAATTTAAACCAAACTACACATTATTAGACTTGAAAACACATTCCATATCGACTGTGTAGTCCCAAAAATGTGTTAACTTTTTCTTTCAGTCTAGTCCAGAACATTAGTCAACCAACAATGGATCTGTCAATCATATCAGTTCAAACTCAAATTCAATCACTCACAATAAAATCAAGTGATACATGATTTACACTGTTGTTAAATCAACTGCATTTTTTTCAACTGTATGATGGAAAATTTTTATGCTGTTTTTTTCTTTTGTTACTTGACTATTTCAAAGCCAATTTCATTCCCTTTCTCTTATTTTTATATATATAGTCTATAGACCCTCAAAAATTAATATTTTTAATTTTTTTTCTGCAATTTTCATAAAAATATTCCTGGTTTACATGATTTTTTCATTTTTAAATGAACTTGATGTCTTCTGATTTTTTAGTCATCAGGTTGCTGTCTCAATAACTTATACCCCAAATCCCCTTTTGTTCATACATGTATTTGCAAAATTGATACTGTGGATTCATTCATATTTGTGAATACCAATTTTCGGAGATTGAGGAAAATCATATTTTTGAAGATATCAATTTTTGTGGATTGAGGAAAATCATATTTTTGTGGATATTTGATTTCGTGGCTTTGTCATAGTCTGCACACAAGCCTATAGGAAATGTGTACATCACTGAACATTAGAATTGATGATTTACCTTAACCAATGAAATCCATGAAATCTGGTATCCCACAAAGGATAATGAACTTAGTACTTAAGAGATCTACTTACCTGTTGGTCACATGATCAATTAGATGTTGTTTGAAACTGTAACTCCATCTTTTTATAGTGTTTAATAGAGCTTGCTTGAAAGGTTTAGAATTTACTCGGAACCAGCTCTCAAATAACTGTGTAGGCTGAATTTGTTCTGCCTCTCCGTATATCTTCTCATAAGTGTCAATCTATAAATAGAATAAAGTTTGATGATTCTTACATACTATGGGTTTCCTAGTAAAATCAACCAAAACTTTATTTCTTCATAGCAGCATTCAGATTGAAATTTACATCAAAAGAAGAACAAGAATACCAGATGGCAGCATACAATATCTTCAGTTACAAATATCAATTAGCAATATCTCTGCAGTGAGCTTACAGAATCTTTTAATGTTTTTCTTCAATTAAATAGAATTCAAAATTCAAATAAAATAAGGAGATTTTTTTACTGCTGATTGCAAAATTGGTAAAGATATTTCTGACTCTGATGAAAACCTTTAACATATAACATTGATCTCCCTGAAAAAAATAAAGATTTTCCATCTTATCTTATTTACATTTCAAGGGGACAAAGCTTAATTTTTTTTTTAATTTGGTAGCATTAACATGGGCATATAGACAAACATCAGTAGGGTGAGGGCGAACCTAATGAGAATGCTTAATTCAATCCTACCTGTTCTTTGAATTGTTTGAGTGTGGGTGGATTCTCAGGGACACTATCCTCTGCATGAGCTTCTATCTCTTCCTGTGTGAGAACATGGTTATACAGTAAGAACTGTCTCATAAACTCTGTCCTATCATCAACCCAAAGGTAGGAGTAATTATCAAAAGAATTCCTATACTCTACAGCCTTGTTCATTATGTTAGTGATTCTATCCATGAGTTCACTTCTCATGTCAGACAGTTCTTCCATTTCTTCCAAATCAGGTTGGTAATTTTCCTGTCCACTATGAGCAGCGAGACGTGGGATCAGAGAAGCTTGTTTGTAGATGTCCCCGGCAAGGCTATCGACCAAGTCATAGAATCCATCGGCTACTCCGTAATCTAGAGATGGAATGAAAATCATTTCCGGTACTCTTAGTTCTAATTGTGCTTCGAATAATGGATCCACTTCAATCTTAGGATCAGTATTGTCTAGTAAGAATTTAATGCTACAGTGAATGGTGTTGAAGAATCCATCGACGACCATTTCATCAACATAATCTACATAGGCTTTCCATGTATCTGAACTACCACTGGCTTTGAAATATTCCAAGTTTTGCTGAAATAAATCCATTATTATTTGATGAATGTGACTCTAACAAAAAGGACATTACATAGTGTTTTATATTATTATATTTTTATGTATTAATATCAAGGCCTTTTCTCACAAAAAATCTTAAGACAAAAATTGATTGTTAGCTATATTGAAATGTATTTTTTCACAAAGTACAGTAGACGAATTTTAAGCACAGTAGGTTTATTTAATTTTAGCCTTTATGCCACACTTATACATATTTTGTTAAGGAGCAATAGTGGGTGCATATGTAGATAAATTACTTATTCTATTTTTTAAAACTTCAACTTTTATTACAGTAAAAATTATGCTTCATATTAATGACCGAAAAATATTTACTGTGAAAAATCGTTGCCTTTGCTAATTTTTATCCATATTAATCTCATTAAATATTTGTTTCGATGGTTGAAATCAAACCATGACTCTGAAGATTCATTCTTGTGATGCTCAATTAATCTTACCTTTAACAGTTCATGTAATTTGTCGCCTAGTCCCTTAATGTTAGTGTAACGCTTTTCAAGTCTTTCTTTTCTATCATCCAAATTCAAAAGAGAATCATGTTTTTCTTCTTTACGTTCAAACAGCGGTGTTTTACTCCATGTTGACATCAGTTTCTTGATTTCCTCTACATTATCCTTGGCCTTTTGTACACGGGACTCGAGGTCTATGACTTGGTCTCTAGTCTTTTGGATATATTCCCATACCCCTGAAATATACAAGGATTTATAAATTGATTTACTTGCATCTCATTTCCTTTAGAATATTGAAGCAAATCAAATATGTTTAAACTAAATATTCAAAGACAATAAGTAAATAAAACGAAAATATGTGTCCATAGGACACAATGCTGAACTTGCACTATCACATTTCCAGGTTCAGTGATGCATATATTTTTGAAAAAAATCGAATCATTTAAGGTAGATAGGGTGTCTTCCTCCATCTTGGATTTTGAAATACCAGAAAACAATCGGTCTAGATCTTTAATAAAAGGTGCAAATTTTGAGAGTAGTAGGTAATTCATATGTAAGAATTTTCAATTCAATATAGAAAATGACATATTTTATCATATTTATGGTTGTATTTTACAAAATAACTGAATACTTTTGTTTGATTCTATTTTTTCCAACTTTGCCACATAAGGGGAGGAAACTCAAATGTAAGGGCAGATAATTCAGATAAAGTTACTTTTACAATAGAATGTGTTAGGAATTTACCTATTTTATTATGTAGCAAGAAAACGGGTCCCGTGACCCTATTTTTTCTTTTTCTTATCTGAAAGCATACTAATAGAGCTACCTTCTCATATTTTATCTCAAAATTCTATGGTGCAGTTTTTGTTTTATGGCAGAAAATTGGGTTTTCCATGCATAATCTATACAAAATCTGTCAATTTTGCACAACCTGTAGCGTGAAAATAAGCTCCGTGACCCATTCTTTTTATTATTTTTTTTTAAAAAGCATGATATAAACTTCATTTTGGCAAATTATTAAAAAATTCTATGGATTATAATTTAAACACCCCATCTACCTTAATGAACATGAGTACTGTACTAAGTGTCAAATTGATGTGACTTACTTTAAACCAAAATTTTAATCTGATGCTGGACCAAAAAAACTTTTTTTCGCAGAGACCAACAAAAACCTACTATTGTAAGTAAAGCATAAACCAAAGACAAAACTTTCAGACTTAACCTTCATTTATATATTCATTGTACCTCTACTCGTTTTTATTATTAAATATATTTTCCTCACATATTTTACTGTAAAACCTATATAAACATATTTGCTTACCTTCACTCTCCCAGTTGAGAGATTTTTCAGCTTGTTCCAATTGGACATCAATATCTTTCAACTGGTCTTCAACTAATGGAAACTCAACCTCTAACACAGTGTTCCTGACTTTATTATAGAGATGAACGCTTAGATCTAAGTTGGTTACAAAACGCCAGAAAGTATCATTCTTGGCAAACATGGCTTTGGCAGATTCTGGTATCTCCTGTTCTTCACGTCCGTCCAAATATTTGACTTCTCGTAACACGGCAGTAAGCTGTGGGTCAAAGTTAACTTGTATAAGGTTTGTCTCTTCGTTTCTAACGATCAGTGGCTGACTCATATTGAAGGCACAAGCTTCACTTACACTGGCTGACCATTCAGAATAGACTTCAGAGTCCCAACTAAAATTAAAAAAATTCCAGTTTGATTAAAAGTCAAGGAAAGTTAAGGTGTGATGTCATAGACTTTGGACCAATTTTTTTATTTAATTTAGACATGCTGGATTCTAACTAAAAATCGACAATAAAATGTTTATTTTCTTAAATGTGACTGAAAGAAAATTCCGAAAAATATCCGATTTTATAGGTTTTTGTTCATATTTTACAACTTGTAGAATACTATTGATAACTGGTTGTTTCGCAATGTATATGATGTTTTTCATATTGGACATTTGGTAAGAGCAGTAATAGCCACCACGTCATTATCTGCAATTCTGCGACACTTGACTCAAGATTTGAGAGACTTGCCCTATTGATGTCATACAATGATCACTTTAATCTTGTCGCATCAGACAATTTCACGTGATGTCAAAATTTTAAAATAACTTCTGCGATATTCTATAATGGTGGACAAAGTGATAAGGTGTTATAAACAAGAGCAAAAATGAATTGAAATTAATCATAGATAAAAAAAAAATGACAAATCACCTACCCATTCAAAAGTCCCAACATTTCTTCAAACTTGGTATAAACTAATTTAGCATCTTCTCCTTGCATACACCTGAAGAAAAAAATTGTCAAAAGGTTAAATATGCCTTTAAAACATGAAAAATACTAAAACAAATTTCATATTTTTCAAAAATAAAACAATGTTAAATCTATTCAGGAAATCATTAAAGTATACATTTGTTTGATTATTTAACAAATTCATTTGAAAATACAGCTTAGGGTTTTTTCACAAAACTCTGAAAGGTTAGAAAGCTCTTCAAATTATGATATATACACATGGTATTTGTCTAACATGCATTCCAATCCTGATATCCCCACGCTTAAATGCAATAACGCTCATTAACAAAATGATCGTTATATATGTATACATACGAGTGATCTATTGATTTGAAGTCTTTCATGGGAATAGATATCCTTTCTCTGAGTTCATGAGACCATCTCAAACTGCCAGAAACTTTTGGCATGTTCTTATGTAAACCAGCTTTTCCTTTGCCTTTCTTCATAGCCACTTGTGCATCATAGATACCCTTGGCAGTATCTAGTTCATTGTTCATCATATCTATGATAATTGGGTATTTAGACTCAAAATCTGTCTTTATCAAGGGTCGCTCCAAAAGGGTACCCAAGATATCCAATAACTAAAATAAAAGATAAAAAGTAGATTTTTTTTTATATCATTTTAAAGACATCTCATAGTTGAAGAGAAGTAGGCAAAAATTTCATCAATGAAGTAAAGAATTGATATTAAAGTAAAATATACGTTCAAATTCTTTAAATATAAAATAGGAAGATGTGGTATGATTGCAAATGTAGCAATTTCCACCAGAGACTAAATGACATAGAAGTTAACAACTAGGATTTTAAAAAATTATAGGATATATTTATTTAGAATCTTTATTTTTTAATGTCCAGCTGCAAATTTTATAAAATTTGTGCTATGAGAAATAAATATCGATTGCAGCAGCTGTGTAAAATTTAAGATTATGATTTTGCAGAAAACATGAATATTCCTTCATACCTTAAAGATAGACTCTGATGTTGAACAGTCATCAAATGCTTGGCAGACGATTGTAGCTAGTCGTCGATCAAAATCACCTATTTTCTCCTGGAATCGGCTATAATCTTCTAGAAAGTCCTGTAGAAAAATAATATCATAATCATAGTAAGAGACGAAAAAATAAAATAATATGAAATCTGCAATTCTGTTCAAATTCATCAAGAGGGTTGAAGGTATATACCAAATTTTATAACATCGGACGATTCCATTTACTTTCTAAATTTTTAAATTCTAAACAAGTTTAAATCAGTATTAAGTAGAATGAATTAGGAGATTGTATTTTTGGATCTAGTGTAGACAAATTAAATCAAATTGCAGAGAAACAAACAAAATGATTAAACAAGAATGATAGGGAAAAAAATCTAGCTACAGCTCTTATTAGATTACATGCATTCATGCAAATTATTTTATACTAAATCTCATATAGCATATATAATATAAGTTTTTAAACTAATATTGGTGATTACTGACCTGAGTAGAAATCAGAATTTCATAAAATTGTTACCTAAATATTTCATCATAACTAAGAGATTTCATACATATATATATATGTAGGACTCGGAGGTGCGATGGGGACGCTGAAGTGCGATGGTCACGCTGAAGTGCGATGGTCTACGCCAAAGTGCGATGGTCCGTTCGCTGATGTGCGATGGTCTATTTGACGCCTGACGGCTAGTTTAAAATATAGAGATGTGCAGTTATTATGAGAAATACATGTAGATTTCTTCAATAGTTAGTAAATCAATTTACATTTATTATTGTATATGTCTGTCCTTAATTACAGTTGCATACTAAATGAGAGATCGTCCTCTTTGATTTTCTTCATGTGGACATAATTCTGCATTAACATTTTATCTTTACTTCTTCTCATGAGTTCCTCGTTTACCGTAATATAGTAATACGGAGAGGCTGTCTGCGAACCTGTATGTATTTACAGAATGTCAAGCTCCATCGTCCGTAAAGAGGAACCTTTTGAAGATTTTGGGAAAAAAAATCGCTACAGAAGATTAACTTTCCCCTATCCAACAATCCTCCCCGTGTCTCGTAGTATTCAAAGTTTATAAGCTCCTTATCAACTTACAAACTCTTAACATACACATTGAGTTCTACATCGACATGAAAAGAATTGAAAATGTAGTTTGTGTAGACCATCGCACTTCAGCGTTATCACCATCGCACTTCGGCGTAGCTGTAAACAAGATAGCGTCACAATGCCACCATCGCACTTCAGCGTGATCAAAACTCACTTCAGCGTCAAACCATCGCACCTCAGCGTGACCATCGCGGTTCGGAGTACCATCGCGGTTCAGAGTCCTACATATATATATTTATATCTAAATCCTTTGAGTGTTCATACTCTTGTCTAATATTTGATGATTTTTATAAGTATTTACTTTTTGAAGTCTTTTCTCCCATCTCTCTAAAATTTTGAGCTATTTTTTTCCAGCTCCAAAACCATTGTCATATTGCCTTCTTTCCACATTTCAAATTAAAAAAATTTAAAAACTAACCACGCAAAAAAAATATCTACTATAAAACAGATAATAAAATGTGTGTTTTTTCTTTTGTTAAGTGATTTTCTGATTATACAGAGTCTTTATGTAGCTACATTTCTCAAGTTTTACAATATAAAATAAACAATATAAAACTAGTAACTATGATGTATGAATCCATCCAACTCAGTAAAGATCTTAACAATTAGGCAAATCACTGACTCCTTCCTAAAAAAAATTCCATTATTTTTCCTAAATGAAAATAAATTTCAAAATACACTAATGGGTGCAAAACTAAACTGCACATGGAAACAAGAGTGCACACGCTGAAATGTCTCGCCTTCTTTACTAATCATTGATATTATGTTGATAGTCCTAAATATAAAGCTTTAGTACAACTGTCACATAAACTTAACATTAACCAAGTAAACTAAACATTGACCAATGAACCATGAAAATGAGGTCAAGATCAGATGAACCATGCTAGGCAGGCATGTACAGCTAACAATTCTTCCATACAACAAATATAGTTGACCTATTGCTTATAGTTTAAGAAAAAACAGACGAAAACACAAAAACTTAACACTGAGCAATGAACCTTGAAAATGAGGTCAAGGTCAAATAAAACCTGCGTGACTGACATATAGATCATAAAATATTTCCATACACCAAATATAGTTGAACTATTGCATATAGTATTAGAAAAAAAGACCAAAACTCAAAAACTTAACTTTGACCACTGAACCATGAAAATGAGGTCAAGGTAAGATGACACCTGCCAGCTAGACATGTACACCTTACAATCATTCCATACACCAAATATAGCTGACCTATTGCATGCAGTATTAGAAAAAAAGACCAAAACTCAAAAACTTAACTTTGACCACTGAACCATGAAAATGAGGTCAAGGTCAGATGACACCTGCCAGCTAGACATGTACACCTTACAATCATTCCATACACCAAATATAGTAGACCTATTGCATACAGTATAAGAAAAACAGACCAAAACACAAAAACTTAACTATAACCACTGAACCATGAAAATGAGGTCAAGGTCAGATGACACCTGCCAGTTGGACATGTACACCTTACAGTCCTTCCATACACCGAATATACTAGACCTATTGCTTATAGTATCTGAGATATGGACTTGACCACCAAAACTTAACCTTGTTCACTGATCCATGAAATGAGGTCGAGGTCAAGTGAAAACTGTCTGACGGGCATGAGGACCTTGCAAGGTACGCACATACCAAATATAGTTATCCTATTACTTATAATAAGAGAGAATTTAACATTACAAAAAATCTGAACTTTTTTTTCAAGTAGTCACTGAACCATGAAAATGAGGTCAAGGACATTGGACATGTGACTGACGGAAACTTCGTAACATGAGGCATCCATATACAAAGTATGAAGCATCCAGGTCTGCCATCTTCTAAAATATAAAGCTTTTAAGAAGTTAGCTAACGCCGCCGCCGCCGCCGTAGCCGCCGCAGCCGCCGCCGCCGCCGCCGCCGGATCGCTATCCCTATGTCGAGCTTTCTGCGACAAAAGTCGCAGGCTCGACAAAAAAATCATAAAAATGTGTATGGTTATGAGATGTTCAAATTCCCAATGTTTCTGGTGGACCAAAATTAATTCATTGTAGGTTAAATAATTATTTCAGGACCTAAGTCATTTAAAAAACTATTGATTGAACTTACTTATTGACACTGGTGTACCAATGAAAACAGATGAACATGGAGTTATCTGCCCTTTATAAGGGATAAAATGATATGGTGAATTTAAACATCTTTGCTATCTACAAGTTAGATATTTATCCCCTTACATTCTATTTCTAGTTTAACAGAGGCTGAACTGATTATGTACCATAGTTGCCAATCTCAATGTAATGATTAATCATTAAAGATTCAGAGATTTTCAATAGGTCATTTTACCTAATTCTCAGTTTGTACGGTAAATGCATATAATTATGTTTTATTTTTTTTTTACATTTGTTGGTATTCAGACAGGTTAGTGAGATGGCAACTATGAAATACAAGATACTAATACCAGAATATCTAGCAGTTAATTAATTTCTACTGCCTACTGATACATATATATGTACCCCTTGGTAATTGGTTTTAACCATTTAAATACAGTTGAACCTCATATTTGAACTCGGATTTCTTGTATGGTCTGTTTTTGAATCCAGTCATTTTCAACAATATTTCTCAATATCAAACAGTTAATATAAATTGAATTATAATAACATAAAGTAGTCATAAAAATTTGTTATACTGTAATGCAAAGTTTTTGACAGTTTGTGATCCGCTGGGAACAAAAAAAAAAATTAACTTTTTTGCACAAGAAACTTTAAATTCGAACAATCAAGATTCTACTGTATATAAATAGTAAATAACCAATTTTTCCTTACCTTGCTTGATTAAGTGATCACTACATTGTGGACACTTGATCTTACAACTAGAATTGACATATACATGTATATAAAAGTTTTCCGATTAGAATAAACACAAAACTCGAGTTAACTGATTATAAAATGAAACATAGAGGGAGTATATCCTCCTTTAAAATGACTGATTTGTGAATAGATATATTCCAACCTCAAATAAAAGGTGGGAGAAAAAAGAGGTGCAAAATACCAACGGACATTCAAAACCCATAAGTTGAAGAAAACTGACAACGCCATGGCTAGAATCAAAAGGCTACGAAAAGACAGACAAGTCCACAAAACAACACATAGAAAATATTGGCAGATTGTTTGCAGATGCTGCTGAAATGTTGCTACAAGAAAATGGAAGGTTCACAATGGGAAAATAAAGCTTACAAATTTGCCAATACAGATTTTTTGTTGCTAATTAGGAGTTTTACACAAAAAATTTACAACACATTAGTTTTTTCAAACATATTACAACACTTATAAAAAACACAACAACAGGTATATGATTTCATAGAGCATTACACAATACAGCAACCATGCATTCTTTACATATAAATATTGCAGGTGAAAAAAATCTCTTTTGAAAGGAATTCGAACAGTCTTACAGAGAAAGCTTAGAGCTAGTTCGGGATTGTAAATCATTAACAATTAATATTCTTAATTTATCAAAAAAAGTCAGATACACTCTTTACATTCTGAGAACCTAGGATCATAAAACACTTGGAAGCATTAAAAAAGGGTGTTAATTATCTAGCTTAGTACTCCTGATCACTTTACACACCACTGAGTTAGGTGTCAACAATCTTACCTTATCTAAAGCCTGAAAGATTTATGACTGAATATGTAAGTAAAACACACATACAAAAGCATAGGGTGCTTGAAAATAATGTTCTCTGGCCAAATAAAAAGTTGTATATTTATGGCAAAAAATGAAGTTTACATTTATCTTGTCTGGATTTTAGATCATTATTATAAATGTCATTATATGCACATATGTCACAAAATTGAGGAAAATGCTGGTGAATTTCAATTAATATTTGAAATTTTATCATAAAACCATTTATTTGGCCAAAAAGTCTGAAAAAAAGAACAAAAATTTAAAGCCAACAAACAGTGAAAAAAAGGAAAAAAACACAGTGCAAATTAAAATCAATTACAGTGTGCATTTGAAAAATGTTTTTTTAAAGAATATTTTACTAGCAAGTTGAATATGTAATATACTGGTATGGTTGATTGCACTTTTTATCCTAAATATTTTCACAATAGTGACCAGTGAATGGCTCTTATCATAACTCAATTTGTGCAGTCTTTACTTGTATTTTCTATTTTCTTTCTTATTTGTTTTAGTTTTCATGTATCTTTTCTTTTACTCATAAAAACTTTATAGAATTATATAATTTTTACAATTCATAAATAATATAAAAAGCCAAAATAAGAACAAAACTGAAATAAACTATCAAATAAAAAATTGCAGTGAAATTAGTTGAAACTTAATAGATAGAGGGAAAAAGTGATAAATAATGAGAAAAACAGTTAAGATCATAAATAAAAACGTACTGGATTACTAGGGTCCAGTGAATCATAACTCCTTGTTGTGAAGGTACTGTATACTGCATTAAACTCCTCGAACAACTGTACAACTTGCTGACTCAGCACTTTTCCTTTAACTCCACCAAGTTCAACTTTCTCTAACTTCAGAAACTCTAAGGCAGTTTCCATCAATTCCTAGGGAACAAACATAATTTTGTTATTTTTTGTCAAGTTGAAAATAAACTTTTAAAAGAGGTAATATTTCTTTTAACTTTTTTTTTTAATTACTCATTTTTAGTAATGTTAATATATTTATATCCGTTATGAATACAAATATAATGTCAGATTGATACTGTCTTAAGTTATATAACTATTGTTTCAATCATATAAGTTCAAATCCTTATAAGTCGTTACTAAAATGTTTTTCTTTTCTGCAAACATTTACCATTCAGCCTAAGTATGCCTTACCAAAACGTTTTTTTTTTCTACAAACATTAACAGTTCAGTCTTTATGTATTGCCTTAACAAAAAAACTTTTTTGTTTCTACAAATATTTACAATTTGGCCTAAGAATAGCCTTACCAAAACTGTCTCAACTCTCTCTGTAAATTTGTCATATCTGGCAAACACCAGTTTAGGAGTAAACTCCCACTCCCTTGGTTCCTCCCCTTCGCCAAAGTAAGACTTCAGTTTATTCTTGTGGTCTTCATATGTCTCCTTGTAAGTATGGAGCACCTCAACAGACTTCCTGACCTTGCCTATGGTCTCTTCTAGCTCACCTTTAAACAATTCTGTTGGGTCTAAGAAATTTCTGGCCTAGAAAAAAAGGAACATTTGACATAATTTAAACTTCACTTAGAAACTTTTCACATTTGTTCTATCTATTTATTTGAACAAAGAATGTTCCTTCAGGAATTTTTACCTCATAAATGATTTTTTTTCTTGATGTTTTCCCCCATTTTATTTCAATTAAAGTTATCAACCTTTTCTTGCCTTCCTTTTGTTTTACAATTGTCTTCCTTGAGGATTCATGAAAACCTATTAATTTCATGGTTATTACAGAATTAGTCTTGTTTTGGTTATTTTGAATCTCAACACTGCAGTGTAGTAGAACCAGTTTATTTAAAATCTTATGCTCTAATGTGTTATTTGCATAATAAAATTGCAAAATAAATATTTGTTTGTGCACAATTACAGTTTTACAATGGGTATATATTGGCGATCTATAGTTATTGGTCTCTCAGACTCTGATGGATAGATGAGCCTCCTCATGGGGTTTTTTGATTATATGATTACTTGGCCGTTTTTATAGTGATTATTTGATTACAAGACCAAATATTTCATGATTATTTGATAATCCAGGACTGTATTTTTGATTATTTGATTATCTTGTTTAAAAAAATAATTAATGATTATTTGATTATATTGGCAAAATATTTGTCATTATGTGATAACTTGGGGGCCTTATAGATGTCTCATTGGCAATAGTACCATACCTTCTTATTTTTTAATAGACAACTGTTTAGAAAAGGTTTATTACTATTAAATGACAAAGTAATTATATAATTACATGGTTAATAATCATGTTGCACATTTCCTGAAGCAGAACAATGATTCTAGCTGGGGTATTGTAGTACTGAGAATGGACCCATATCAAACAGACTGTGTGCATCATTGGGGCCAATAATGGACCACTATCATCAAACTCAGACTGTTCATAGTCCTCAAAGTGATGTCTGGCTGGTCTCAGGTAAATGTTGATGTCCTTGGCTTCTTCAAGTGCTAAATAAAATGAATAATATTGTAATTCATTGGCAATTTTGACATATTCCTTTTGATCCTACTGCTTAATATTTTTTTAGGTGAAGGACAGGTGATAAACGAAAATATTAAGCAATGAATTCCAGTAACAATGTAGCAAAGTCAAACTTCCATGTACATATCAATGAAATGCATGCAAAATCATTCATACAATTGAACAACTCTTGCAACCTGTAGTATGCGAAGAAAAGAGTTTTATTATCTTCTGTATGTAATTTCAAATTCTAACTTGAAAGTCAATAAAAAAGTATTGGCATTTTATTTCTTGATACTGACTTCATTAGCTTGAATATCAGCTCTCCACAGTGGGCTTGCAACACATTCTTGCTGATAATTAGCATTAAATACTAAAATGAAATTATTCTATAAGCCTCTATAAGTCTATCAATATCATTAGTGGTAAATTCAGCTCAATTTAAGAATATATGCAAATAATCACAAAACATTACCAGTAAATCTCTTTGTTAAATTACACAAAGTAAGAAAAAAAGTATTGCTTCTCCTGTTTATTTATATACAATTTCCCACAATCCCAAGCATTAGTACCAAACTAAATAATGAATCTACATTATCCAGTGTTCTATCAAAACCTTTCAAAGTCTAGTTACCTCCCCCCTCCCTACTTCCTAGTATTTCATAATGAATATTCATATGGTGGAATACAAACCTGCTACAACATCTCTGAAGATATCTTTGAAAACTGGGAAATAGCTGCTCTGTGTCCTTTCCAATACTTCAGCCATCTTTCTTACTTTTGGATCTCTCAGCTACAAACACATAGTCAATCATTAGAGACATCCTGAAGCACCTAAACTTATACAGAATCTTTATGTGGGTTGGAACTTATCTTTATTTAACATAAGTATCAGACATATAATGTATTTGTAAAGTGAAATCAAACATGGATTGTCTCCCTTTAACAAGAAAAATCTCAACTTAGAAAAAAAAGATGTCCAGTTGCCAATTACAAATGAATGTAATGAATATCGGATATTTCAGTCAAGTATATTAGTTTTGGCACTTTTCTGGAATTCACCATTAAGGTCAAAATTTAGTTCTTAAGAATTGGCAATATGCTCTGTTGTAAGAGTTGTTCAATATGCAATTTTCAAATTTTGAAGTAAATATCTATAATATAAAACACTTTACAAAATAATAACATGAATAATGTTGTCAAAATTTCATTTTAATGCATCACTTTTTGTTGTATTGGAACATTGGTCTTTTGGTAAATGACTTAAAAAAGGCAATAATCGTAACATTTTGATTATGGTCTGAGCTCTGAATGGAAGTACTTTTCAGTAAGGCTGGTATAATTTAATCATCAATTTTTACCTGGTCATAGATGCAATCCAGATTAGTGGATTTATTTTTCCAGAATTCTATTTCTACAAATGGTGTTGGGTTAAGACCCTCTAATAATGGCTGAGCTGAATCTTTTTTCAGAACATCTCTGATCTGATGTGTCCAGTCAATGACCACTGACTCAATGGCATGGATAAGCTGTCTGTCAATACTGTCCGCTCTGGAAAAAAAACAATCATTATATTATAAGAACAATCAATGACAATTCATTTTCATACCTTCATTATTGAATCATATCAAAAAGTGGACATATTTACTATTTATCATACATGCATTGACCAGTTTTTAAGATGGGGCCAATTTTATTTAATGTGAAATGAGAACTTTTGAAACAGTCAGGAAGAAATTTTACTTCATTCTTGTCAGACTAATTTCTCTAATGCTTTAGGGCTGCAGTATCATCAAATCTTTGCCTTATTCCTAAATTCTTTGTGCCTTTTAGAGCTATAATAAATAAACCCTAAGCCTAAACCTTATTATAACCCATAACTAACCATAACAATCGTTCTAACATTTAAAACCAACCCCTAACCTAAACCTAACTGTAAACTGAGCTACAGAGACACCCAAAGTAAAAGTAACCCAGATTTTTAGGTCAATAATAAATTCCCTAATATCACTTCATTTACACATCATAGTCTAAATAAGATTACCAAAGAAAAGTTCTTTAATTTAAGAACAAAGTCGTGTGACATTTATAATAACATACTTATCATCATCAGCATCCACTTTTTCAGCACCAACAGGAAGTGGCAATAAGGTTTTGCCCTTTGCTTGTCCAGACACCACATATACGTCACTTTTAAGTCTCTGAGAATGGCGGGAGACATCAGCAGAAACAACTTGTGGCCAGGATTCATGGTTTCTGTCGTTGGATAACAGTGGAACTAAAACCTGTAATAAAAATTATCTGGTTATATATCGAACTATATTATTCTATATAACAAAATTAATTTCAATCTTTTAGAATGTTTTTTTTAAAATGGGTACCACTTTTTGTGGATATTTGATTTTATGGTTTTGACAAAACCATAGAAAAGAATAGATATGGGGTATCCATCCATGACACAAAATCATTATATACACAGCAAAAAACACAAAAAGCAAAGGAACAGCGCTTTTATTGCTGTTCTTTCTCTCAAAGTCACAATGAGGCCTTCAACACACATCCAAAAAACTCTCACCTCACTGTAAGTTTAAGATGGCCCCTAGCACTGTTTAAGACGGAATTCTTTGCAAAATGACGATCATGCCACAACTGTGAATTGTCAGCATATAAGCTGCTTCTAATTTGTAAATTAAAATTCATAGTTCACCTTTTCTACAAAATCCACAAAATAATTGATATCCAATAATGAATCCACAGCAAATATACAGGAAAATGAGTAGGACCAGGAAGGACTTAATTTAGCCATTAAAATTGATTGATTGATTGTTGGCTGCTTAATGTCCAGGGGCAAATAAATTAAAATTGAACTATGGCATCATATACAAAACTAAAATTCCAATCTAAAATTTGCTAATCTTAATAAATCAAACATTTATTTTCTGTGTACTATGTAAATATAAGTTCATTTTGGTTAGGGGTTAACATCAATTGGTCTTGCAACCCAACAACTAAAACACACATCTTAAAGTCAACTTTCACAGTCGTTCCCCAAGTGTCTATGATCTATTGCTCTTAATATCTAAGTCTGGAAAGTATATGCATAAACTATCAGAGAGTATCAAAAACTGTTTATTGTACAAAATTTTATTACTTCAAAAGCTGCATTACTTAATAAATGAAACATGAAAAATCTTGTTGAATGTGTACTCATCAGATATTCTAAATATATATTAATAAAAGTTTATGATATTGTATATTTGGCGGTGTATCAATATTCACAAAGTTCCTGATAGATATAATTTCATGATTACAAATGCAGGTTACATGCATATAGAAACCATTGAATAGATACCACTGGGATTATACACCTGTCCTTGAATAGATACCACTGGGATTATACACTTGTATATGCATGGTTACCTTCTTTACCTTACATAACCTCTATTGAACTGTGAAACTGTTAACACAACACCAATTATCCATACAGAAAACAAATTAAGGATAAAAAAGGACAAAAGGTAACAAGTAATGCCATAAGCAAAATATGACAGCTTTATAGTGTAAATTACAATTGGATAATAACCTGTATAGAACAGAGGTCTATTTTGATGATATAATAAACTTTTGTTTGTTTTGTTTCATTTTTTAAACAAACAAAGACAGACCTAATTAATGACATTTAAATATTTTAAGTCTGTTGAGCATGTTTTAATATTTTTCAGAAATACTTGAAAATTAAATTGTATACACAAATTCATCAGAAATATATTTTTATCAAATTCGCCCAAAAAAATTACACTTGAAAAAAATACATATGGTTATCATTAATTAAAAACATAAATCTAAATTTAAATTGATGTATGATGAACCTTCTTTTTCTGCTTTAACTTTAAACTTTAGAGACCAAATCAATGTTCAAACAGGGCACCTTAATTCAGAAGCTGATTGAGGGGGACAAGGGGCCCAAACCCCCCTTATGCAGCTTCATTTTTGATAAAAGTAGAGACAATTTACAAGTATCACTCCAAACACTGGCTTACCAGAAAAGCAAAAAATAAACTAATTGTTCAGAATTATATTTTGCTTTTGATTTGATTTGATTTCCAAACATGAAAAGTCTCTGATAAATTTCTCGTATCTCAGATTTTTTTAGATACAGGGTAATTCAAACATGTTAGAGCAGACTAAGTCAACTTGTCTTTTGTTATCAAACATTAGATTAACCTCTAAATGTCTTTGGTTTTTAAATGATACTATCATGACTATAACTATCAAATAGAGATCTTGGTTTGGCTATTCTCCATATATAATCAAGGGTACATCTAAGGAATGACACATGTGAAATATGTCAAAGCAAAGTTTGAATAGTCTTTGATGGTCTTTAACAACATTTTCAGATTGAATATATAATATCAAATTTGGCTCTTTTTAACATATCAAGGTTATTGCAAAAAGAAAATGAGTAAGAAAATATTACAGTAAATTTTGACCTGTGTTTAATAACACCTGACAATATTTTATAATCGCAAAAGATATTGTAAGGCTTAGGGTGTGTTTACATGGACCATGTGAAATGTGTTTTGTGTACACATGTTTTGTTGTTATCTTTTTAATGAAAACTAACTAATTCTTTGCCATGCATTCAGTTCTTTATCTATAAGTCAAATTACAGCTTAAAGTGCTTAAAAAGTAATGAACTGATCCTTAATCATTTATGTTCAAAAATCCAATTAAACTTGTTTCAAACTTGTTTGAGCCTCCGTGTAAACACAACCATACATAAATTATTGAGAAAAATAAAACCAAATGTAAAAGATAGAAAGCTAATTTAGGTAAATGAACTTATTACCCTACCAAGGGGGGGCATTAAAAAGTAAATCAATTTACATTACATCATGTTTCTTTATAAACTTTTTATTTATTACTGTTAAAAACTTGACAACCAAATACAAGTTATTTAACTTTCATTACATAATAATATGGTTACCAGTTTAAAGTTATATGATACAAAAGATTTCTCACTCAATGCCATTGATGTATAATTACTGCTTACAGCGTAAGAAATGATTAATTACTAACAAAATATTTTGTTGCTGAGGTGTTCAATATACTCTTAATGTGAAAAAAAATCCCAACATTTTGATCTTCGATTTCAAGGTAAAATTAAATCAACTCTGTATATTAATTTTCAGTCTCTTCTCAGAAAAACAATTCTTCTGTTAAAAAAAAAAATATCCATCAACACATCCCCCTCCACCGGAAATAGACAGTTGTTTATATTATCTAAATTTAGGGACCATGTGAAGGTACACATGTGAGACAATGTTTCTAAGATATACCGCGAGTGAGTGGAATGTTTCTTTAAGGTGAAGAAACAACTGTCATACATCAAAGAGACAAGTCATGATAGAGTCTGATATAGATTCTAACACTGTATTGATTGAGATATGAAATGTTTTCAATTGATTGAGACAGTTTTCAAATTTTCAAATACCAGACTAGCCAGGGGATTTAAATATTTGAGATATAGATATAAGAAGATGTGGTATGAGTGCCAATGAGACAACTCTCCATCCAAGTCAAAATCTACAAAAGCAAACTATTATAGGTCAAAGTACGGTCTTCAACATGGAGCCTTGGCTCACACCGAACAGGAAGCTATAAAGGGCCCCAAAAATTACTAGTGTAAAACCATTCAAACAGGAAAACCAACGGTCTAATCTATATAAAAAACGAGAAACGAGAAACACTTATGAACCACATCAACAAACACCAACTACTGAACAGTCAGATACCTATTGAAAACAGAGAAATAGTGCATCACATGAAATACAATGCCAATATTTAATACATTCACGACAGTTTGTTGTGCCTTTACAAGATTTATGATCAGCTACATGTACTTTAATTATTTTGTTCAAAAGGAATGTCCTGTATCCTTCTTGACATAATAGAATAAGTCACTTTTTACCATTTAAGTTAATTTAAATATAAAACAAATGATTAAAAAAAAAAAAGACAAAAAAAAGGGGGGGGGGTTGAGATCCAATGTAAAGTAAAACATTCATAGTTATCTCCCTTTCTTGGAAAGAAAATGTACCTCAAGTTTATTATATACTGCTATCTATTTTATTTGATATTTTACATATGGCAACTCAATCCAAAAGTCTTTCTATCTTTTACTTATAACTTTTATCCATACTTTTAATACGTTAATTATTCATATATGGGACTTTTATTACCCAATACAAATTAGATTAAGTCAGTGTTACATTATTCAGGGATTACAAGAGTTACCGGTACTCTGTATATTCAAATAGAAGTTCTTAATAATTCCCTACTTTCTTCTATAATATCTTGATATGATTTTGTATGCAAATTGTAACATGAAGATATCTAACTATTGTGTGTTCTCTTTGTGCAAGGTCAAGTTTAGAAAACAATTGTTTGATATTGATTTTGACTTATTAGCTTGACTAATTAAGTGGTTTCCTAGAAGAAAAATAACTGAGGGTGTGGATTGGGGTTTATAAAATAGAGAATAATGGGCCTAAAAAAAAGATTAAAAGAAAAATGGGTAAGCAAATATAAGAATATTAGAGGATAATGGGGTGCTTCAATAATACAAAGAATGGAATATGGGTAAAAAACAAAATATTGAGAAAAAAGGCCTAAAAAATAAAGAATATAAAAATGAACACCCCTCCCCATTCAGATCCTCTTAAAAGATAACCTTGGTATAGTAAAAATATCCTGAAACTACAAATTAAATATATCATTTAATAATATTGGTAATTTCAGGGTAATCAAATTTATATGGTCTATTTCTAGGATTACATTTTCTATACCAGGAAATCAAATGTCGATTTATTAAAAAAAATATTACATGAGAACCAATTAGAAAGGTTCACATATTGATTATCTAATTGCCATCTGAAGCCATTGATTCCTACACTAATAAAATCATATCAAATTCGATAAGGGATATTCTGGGGGCTCTAATAGGGTACCCCACATAGGTCACAAGGTTAAATCAAAAACTTTTCTCAGGTCACCAAGTCGCTTTTAAGCAAATAAAACATTTGAATAAAACAATTTTGATCATTTTTAAAAGGTCACAGGTCCTTTTAAATGAGATGTCAGGTCTCAAGGTCGTTCAATATATTCCCCAAGGTTGCAGGTCAGATTTGACCATGTTGGAGCCACAGTCTAATAACTAAAGATCTACTGTTGTTGTTTTTTTTAAAGAATGGAGTCTCAAACATTTACCATACATAGTATTTTGATTACTCGAAATTTACTCCTTTGTGAACATATTTAATGATACAAGATCCTACTGTTGGACAAAAAGTATTCACCATATTTTTATAGAAAATAATAAAAGTAACAAAATATCTTGGTGAGGATTAATAGAATTCCTACTTTAAATCCGCAAATCTCCCATTATTTGTTATTCTATGAGTAAAGACAATATTATTTGGTTCGACAAGCAGGAGAGTAAAGACCATCAACCAAACTAACCCCCCTTAAACATATTAAACAAACGATATATAACATAAAGTCCTTTTTATAACATATCATTATTGTCACTGGGCTTGAGGAGTGGTATTGTGGTTTCTTTAATGTTCATCATACATTGTATACCAATTATCATGGATTTTATTGGTAGAGGAAACCCATGAATTAAAACAATCAAAAATACAAATTTTAGTTATTTTGACACATATGTAGGTGTAAATCATGACAAATGAATTTAAGTACCCTTGAAATAACAGAAAATAAATTAATCCACAGTAAAAAATAATTTTGTGTTTATGTAAATTTATTGAAATAACAAAACTATACCTCGTCAACGAATGCGGAAAGTTGATCTAGCGGAGCATAGGAGAGATCTCCATACATTAGAGCCGTCCTCATATTGGTGTCTTTGTTGATATTATTTCCCGTCATCTTGACGAAATAGCAAGCTTTGGCTTTTGGTTTCGTGGGCCATTCCAATGTGGCAACTAAACTACCAGTAGGCTGACCAATAACTATAGACTGACAGTCTGATTTTTCAAAGAAGTCCATGAACATTTGTCTGGTATCTTCCAAACTATACATCTTTTGAAATTTATCTGGTTTTATTTTTAATGTCTTGATGACATAGTCTGCCATGAATTCCACACGGGCATCGTGTAAATCTAAATCTGCCGCCGACATGGTGGCAGTTTCTGCTGTCTTCACACACTATAGAAAATAATACTGTAATGTCCTTTCAAATTTATTCCACTCTAAATCAGAATATATCCTAACCAGACCTACTTCACAGATTTAATTGGACCATGTGATTCAGTTTGTACGGGAACTTGTTGTGTGTCGTCTGCAGGCCATGGTTACCAGGATCAGGACCATTGTCATGCAAACTGGGTTTTAAGTTCTATAAGTAGTACAAGGCTAAAATCAATAAATTAATGGTCATACTCGCTGAACCGCTAAACTAATTATATACAGGTATATTGTCAATAAAATACATTAACTGATTTGAAAAGAACTTATATATTGTCAATAAATTATAAAGTAGATTTAAGAAAGAATTAAAAGATTAAAACTGCTTTAATATAATCAGGGATTTAAAACATGTCTTTTAAATGCTAAGATTTTATCAAATTTTACCTTGTATCATGTATGCTCAGCATGGTTAAATAATTCATTATTGATTTAACAGTTATTTAAACTTAAAAGAATGCAAATCATATTGTGCTTTTCTTTTATTTAGTGTATTGATATACATGATATTGTGACTGTCATGGTTTAATGTTTCAAGTCTACGTCAGCTGGGGTTTTTTATTACTGTTTTTTGGTATAAAACTTTTAAGTTTCATTTAAATTGTACTTATAATAATGTAAGAATTTATAAAAGATTTATAAGTTAAATGTATACATCTGCTGTACATAGTTAAGAAAAAAATTCTAAAAAAGGGGAGGGGTTTATATTCCTTTTAACCTAACCTTAATGTGTCATGTCGATTCTAACAGAGAGCATTTTAACAATGACAAAAAAAAAAAATTAAATTGACAGTATCTTATTTTAAAACATGTAATTTTATTTCGTCAAAAGGAAATAGAGAAAACCTTTAAGACACATTAATTCCTCCCCCTCCTCCTCCTCCAAATAAATAAAAAATTAACATCTAGAGGTCATGACCTTCAGTAATCCGCAAAAATACATTTTTTCAATTAATTCATGATCTACACATTTGGTTAGTGAATTTAAAGTTAAATTAGTTTAGTTAATGATGTCTGACGCCACAAAGTGATTGTTGCATGATGTCAATAGTTCAATTTTTGCAAATTAAAAGGTCAAGTGTCTCAGATTCTCAGATTTAGTGTTGCAAATTCTCAGGTCAAGTGTCACAGATTCCCAAATAGTGATAATGTCTAATGGTCCCAAAAGTTAAATTCTATCATGAAAATCTCTCTGTAAGTTATATTTAGTGAATTACAATTTTATTGTATTCTATGTCCATTATCAAATATGAAAATCATTATAATGGTGACATAAATGTGAATATCTCATTAAAAATGGCAAAAATATTTCAACTATTTCAAGCATAAACTATTTGTGCATACTTGTGCAAATTTTCAAACACTTACTATAATTTTATAAAGTTTTACACAAACTTCATTTTACCTACTGTAAACAACATGATACAGATATATGGATGATTTGAGTCTTCCCAGGTACAGAGTCAGATTTCTCCATTATATTTAATGTACTTTTAAGCATCCATATATCTTTGTAACAAATTTTGATATAAATTAAAATTTTGAAATCGAATTTATATAATCATCTAGTTAAAATATACAAAGTTCCAAAATATTCTATAATTAGTACATGAGCAGATAACTCTGTATGGAATAAGCCTATTGTTTTAAAATATAAAATCTTGTTTTTCATTTCATATGTAATTGTTAAATACAATTAAAGATTATTATGTTTGTAATGTTCAGTCATGTATAATTATGTTATTTAAAAGTATGAATTAAAATAATTAAGTGTTTTTCACAGGTGATTTTTCAATTGTAATGTTACACCTTAACAACTTGATTGACAATAAATTTAATGATTTTCCCTTTTAAACTTTGAGTACATGTACCTGTATTTGTGATATTTGGGGTTCTGGATGGGCTTTACAGAATAGAGAATAATGGCTAAAATAAATAATGAATGGAGAAAAAGGAGCAAAAATATAAAGAATAGAGAATAAAGGGGAAAATAAATAATGAATGGAGAAAAAGGAGCAAAAATATAAAGAATAGAGAATGGTGGGGAAAATAAATAATGTAATGGAGAAAAAGGAGCAAAAATATAAAGAATAGAGAATAATGGCTAAAATAAATAATGAATGGAGAAAAGAGAGCAAAAATATAAAGAATAGAGAATAATGGCTAAAATAAATAATGAATGGAGAAAAAGGAGCAAAAATATAAAGAATAGAGAATAATGGCTAAAATAAATAATGAATGGAGAAAAAGGAGAAAAAGTATAAAGAATAGAGAATAAAGGGGTGCAAAGTACACAGCCAAATTTTGCTCACGTGAATTTCACGTGAATCTCATTTCACGTGAATTTCACATGAATTTCACATGAATTTCACATGAATTTCACGTTAATTTCACGTGAAGTGATTTCACGTGAAATTCACGTGAAATTCACGTTAAATTTTCACGTGAAATTATTTCACGTGAATTTCACGTAAAACATTTCATGTGAATTTCACGTGAAAAAATATAAATGGTGTCTAAGTTAAAATGAAATAACCGAAAATCAAACATTTTGTCAACCTCTAATATCTTGTATTATATGTATCATATATTCCATGGAAATCTTAATTTAATTTGAAAAATTCAATTTTCACGTGAAATTCACGTGAATATTTCACGTTAAATTCATGTGAATATTTCATGATATATTCACATGAAAAATTTCACGTTAAATTCACGTGAACAATATCACATGAAATTAACATGAATCAAAACTCATGTGAAAATGTTATGTTTCATTTTATCTGAATTAAACCATGAATTCATAAGAGAAATTTAACTTTATTGAGTTAAATTTTTGTAACATTGAGAAACAAATTCACCTGAATTTTGCTATTATTCATTCCAATTTTCTTTTTGCAAAATTGAATCATTTCAAAACTGTTATTCTTTGTCTCTCAAGATTTACACATTTGGACATACAATCATTGTAAATGATAAATATTTATCTTTTTGTTAAGCATGAATTATCTCCCTTGATAGTGGGTTAGATGCAACTACAAAAACATGTTGGTTTTGAATTATATTTTCTATCACTGTTTATATTTATCTCTAGTAGAGTCATTAGGATGGAATTTTGTATACATGTGTATCTCTTATTTCAAATTCCTAGATGCCTATATTATATTGATGGACTAATTGATTTACTAGTAATATTTCTATAATTATTAAGTAGTAAATTTAATTACTTTCACACATCTTATGTCTTCTTTACTTTTATACTTTTAAAAAATGTGGGAGGTAACTCCAACTTATGAAATAGATTACTGTTACTGTAATAGATTCTTTACTTCCCATTATTGCAAAGAAAAAAAGGATAATATATATCATATATATATATCATTAACTTCCAAACATGAGTTATCTCCCTTTTTTACTGTGCATAAAACTTTTCCTCAAACTTATAAGTCAAGAAAATTTGTGAGCATTGAATCGCACATAAGTTTAACATTAGGACATATATGAATAAAAACTAGTAAGAATACAGAAAAGAATTTTATATGTACTAAATTTTGTCAATAAATGTAAATTTGAATGTTTATCAATTTTTTAAGTATATTGAAAGTGCAGTATAAAATTTTTTGTATTGCTTTTTATAACATGACATCTATACAAGAAGCAAATTTTGTTTATAATCTTTGAAATTGAAAGATTGCATGATCAATTGTTGCACTGGGACACATTTTAAAATTACAAAACAATTTTACGTCCCTGTATTCTTAGATTAATGTTTTTATTCAGAAAAAATGAATGGTTACATCAAGGAATTGTATATTTAAATATACAATTCCTTGGTTACATTTACACTTTATTATTAAAAAAAACTTACATTCTTTAAGCTTTAATAAATGTGTGGTAAATGATTGCCAATTAGACAAGGCTTGCTCATTGAATTAAGGTTAAACATTTTACTTTTGTATAGATATATATATATATATTCTTTTACACAATGAAATCACAGTCATAATTAAAATTATATTTATTATATTTTATCTGGGACTATTATACTAAGTTAGTATAATAGTCCAAGATTTTATAAATATATTATATTAAATAGTTGTAAGGGTTTAATTAACTAACAGCTCCATGTGGAGGTGCTCCTATGTAAAGGATGCTTATTAACAAAATAATTTGTTATATGTTCCAAGGATTTGTATAGTAGGAATGGGGGAACTAGCAGGTACCTATTTTTCACTTTTCACATGGAGAAATACTTTGAACATCAGATCAGGACAATATCCGTGAATCTCTCGTCCGGAGTCGGGTTTTTTTTAAAACGCTTGAAAGATACAGATTATGACGCGTCTTAAAGAGAAGAACGCCGTCAGCCGATTGTCAACAACAGTACTTGTTTCAGTTAATTTAACAAGACAAACAATACCAAGGAGCTATGAGTCAATGAATACTCGAGGATGTACTACAGGTAACTCAAACAAATGATTTAATAGTGCAGGAATAAACAGAAATCTGCAATGACTGAATGAGAATGGTTTTCATCTTCGATTTTGGTATCGTTTTCGTTCGCTCCGAAATAATTTTTATACACGTTCGCCCCATAGGACCTAACGCATCTAATTTCAAATTCCAGTTGAATTGTAAGTTATTTTATTATTTGTATACAGTAACGTAGCTTGCATTCTGTTATTCACGAAGTCAAGGGGTCTTAAGCTATCGATTTTTTTTAACAATTTGAACAAACTAAAGTTAAACTACCAACTTATTAGTTCATTACCTGCTTATAATTTTTCAATGTTCATATGGATACTTAAATCTTTTAAGACGCATTCATGATTTAGTTTCTCATATCGAATTCTTTAAGTGTCGCAACTTCCCAGATAATGGCAGATTAAAAAATATTTATGAATAATGGAGATGGATATGTCAAATTCTGACTGAGTCTTATACAGTATAAATTTGTCACTTCTTTTTTTATTTGTGTATGATTCAAATCATACGTATTACTATCTTATCTATGATTAACTCAAAAGTTATATAGATAACAAACACTTGGCTGACTTACAGTTATCACATACATGACACAAGACAATCACTGACAAGTTTCCGGACTTGCTAGCACTAGCAGTAACTGAAAGCCAGATCAAATACA